AATGGGAAAAAATAGAGAGAGGAATCATTTAAATTTTTGTTAAGCTGGGAAAGAGAAAGGAGATTGCTCTACACTACAAAAAATCCTAATTCATTAGATAGACACTTCCTATTTTTACAGAATTGATTTTAACTTTTTAAAAACATATTGCCTTAGAGGTAATATCCTAAAAGATAATATCATGTTATATTGTATTATTACTTCAGCAAGATAACATTAAATTAAAACAAATATCATTAATGTTAAATAAAAATGTTATTTTTAAAAAAGGAAACATTATATTACGCTGATCCTAAACCAATGAAGTTATTATTACATATAAGCTTATACTTACAAAAACAATCTTTCATTCTTAAAAAAAAATTATATTTTACTAAATCTATTTAAAATAATAATAAAATTTATTAAATAAATTAAGTATTACCTAAATTTGTATTCCAACATGCTTAGCAATGCATAAACTAATGTAAAGAGACCACTTTTATATAACTTTTCTTTGGGTGTACCCACTGTGGGAACGTGTCAATGACTTGTGTTTGTTAAAAGTATTTAGGAGCCTACCCAACAAATACTATTTGCGTAATAATTAGTTTTTGTTTTTTTTATTTCGTCACTTTTTAGCTGTGTGACATTGAGAGAGCCTTTTATGCTTTTTTGGGTACTCGTGCACTAATTGCTGGCTCTTTTATGGGGTCTGAAGTCTGTATAGAAGTAGTTTCTTCTCTGTATTTCTCTGTCTCTTCCTATTGCTCGGTTTTGCCTTTGCTTCCTGCTTGATTTGTTTATTGGCTTTAATGTATTTTGCATGTTTCGCCTGTCGTGTTTTATTTTTATTGACTGCCCTGCACAGTGCACATTTTTTCTGCCTCTTCAGCCTTTTTTTCTGCCTGGCTGCGCCTGCGCCGATGGTTAATTTTCATTTTTTCTTTTTTTTCCCATTTATTTGCTTGCGTGCTTTATTATCATGTCTCGCTCATAAATATTTATTATGTGTCTTGACTGTCTGCACTTGTCTGTCTCCAACTGAAGCTCCACCTCCGCCTCAATCCATTTGCTTCCTTCTCGAGTTCCCCGTAATTGGGTCAAAGTTCGCCCCAGCTATGAAAAATGTTAATTATACGACAACTGTTGTAGTGGGCTGCTGTCGTTGTTTTTATTGCGTGGGCGGCCAACTAACGGGAGCCAAGCCCCAAAAATAACATTTATAAACATTGCGGAAATTGTTTTTCATGTGTTTGTTTGTTTGACTGCCAACACGTTTTTATAAGTACTTAGATCAAAGATTCTTCATATGTTGAGTTGGGGAACATGGTTTATTATATCAAGTTAGTTAAAAATAAAGTTAAGGAATTAGAAATTAAGAAAAAATCTAATTAGTTAAGATTTTCCTCTCCAGAATATAAGACATATTGGTGGAAAAAATGCATTCTCGAGTTACAAGTTGCGAGTTTAATAAAACATATAGTCTTCCCAGAACTTTGCACTTTTTATTTAAATGGCGTTTTCCAACTGAACTGTCGTGTAAGTTTATCAATTGTCAGTAGAGCGAAATGCTTGCACAACTAACTTTGTGGAAAGCAAAACTAACATTAGACATAAATGTCTTTCGCATTTCTAAACTTATCTGAACTTCCCGTTTCTTTGTCTGAACTTTGCCTTCTGTCCGCTGCTCACAATTTCCAGTTGACCACGTTTAGAGTCAGACTTCTCATTATAACAACGCACCACAACCCCCAATACCAAAAAAATCGGTGCACATGGGACAAAGCCGTTAGCACGTTGCACTTGTACGTGTTCCGTGGAACCGCATGTGGCTAATATCACCTCCACCGATCCGATCCTCCCCTGCACTTCTGGACTCCATTTCAGCACAGTCTCTGACTCACTGACGACGACACTTTGGCCAACTTATTAAGTGCGATAAAAAGCAAACGTCGCAGCAGTTGGTGGAAATATCAAGTTATCAATAAAACGGAAGTGCTCTAAACAAAACAAACATGAAAGCGAACACAAAAAAAATTAAATTAAACAAACGGGGGAAAAGACAGACAATCATAAATCAAAGGAGCTTTGCCAAAAAGTAGATTCCCAGAAATTAAATTAACTCATGTTTGAAGATCGTCATTGAATGTTGTTCGAAATACCCAAAAAGAAAAAAAAAAAAACCAAACCAAAATGAAATTATGATTAAGCAGGCATTTTGGCCAAATGGCAAAAATTGGTCAACACACAAAACTGTGTGACGTTTGATAAGCTGCTGGGGCCAAAAAGGTGGCTCTCGTCGAATCGCAGCTCAATAACCAAAGCGAATGTAAACCGGTTGGCCAGTCAGTCAATCAGTGTAAAGTCGGCTAAAACCACAGCCAAATAAATGCCAACGAAATGAGACATAAACCGAAGCAAGTGGATGGACACCGGGCGACTCCGCATCCGTTACTTTTTTAAGTGCGTTCGCGTTCTAGTCACATGCAGAAACAGAAACAGATACAAACACAGACACAGATACAAATCAGATACACAAAGTATCTGGGTGCATTACTCATGCTAATTTCACACAGATGCTCGGCCACTGCGGAATAATGAACTACTTAGAGCGACAAAGACGTCGCCGAGTTGAGTTAACAAGTTTTTAAAGATCTGCGGGTACACAGAAAACAAAGTTATGACTAAATAATCAATTATTCTTTTCAGGGGGAATTCATTTTTCTTAGAAGAAATGGAATTTTATACAACCATAAGAGTATATCAATATCAAAAGATTATAAGTCTGTTTCTTTTATCTCAATCCTCAAAGTAGTTCATTAAAAAAAAAAAATTATGATTCTAAAAAAGTTTCTAATAAAATATCTATGTAAACTCTAAATTGGAGAACATATAACCAGTTGTGATTTAATTGATTTCTTTACAATCATTATTCTTAATTATACCTGTATTTACATTTTATAATAAAGACTTCATAAATATATTGAAATAAAACCAAAATTAACTTATATTTTCATTTGTGTATTACGATTTGATCTGCGAAATATTTTGGTAACCTTAGAAACCCTAACAAACTCAATTGTGTGGGCGAAACCAATTGACAGACACTTTTTCTTGTTGGCAAAATTTGAGGCCATAAACATATGAAATTAAAGATATTTTTGAAAGCTGTTAGCTGATTGACAGCACAATTTCATGAAATGGTGTAACCGATAGAGCTTAATCCACCAGAAGAACCTTATAAGGGCAACGTGAAAGAGCTGGTCATTGCGAGAAATTGAATAAAAATAGATATGGAAATGAAATTACTTAAGTAAATTTGAATAGCCGTGCGCAAACCACCTTGATTGTTAAAATGGAAATTCACTGACTGATTACTCATTCCTTAGTTATCTCAACTCTGCGATGATTAAGTTACTATCATAAAAAATAAATATAAATATAAGTGAATGCTGTTTTAGAACTGGGAATAATCTTACCCTTGCAATATAAAGCTTTTTATGAAATTTAATTTTTGATAAAGAAAATCTCATAGATGTAAGTAAATGATGTTTTTCAACATTTGTTATAAAAACACAAATGGTTTTATTTGCTACCAAAACCCGAATTTGTCTGCACTCAATTTGGTTTTACAGTTTTTTTCAGAAGTAGTAAATCCTTATCGCGCCCAAATTACTCCTTTCAATGCAGTTTTAAGCCCAATTCCCAAATCAAATTACCCACTTTAAGGGTATAAAAATACTTTGGGATCTGTAGACGCGATAAACAACAACTTGAGGCAAATCCAGCAGCAGTGGCGGCAACTCAATTTGGTTGCATTCATCACAAAGATGCCGGCGGCGACCCCCACAAAGTGCAACAGCAACATCTACTGCAGCAGCAACATGCAACAACAACAGCAACAGCAATTTGAACGCCCAAGCACAACAACAACTTGCCGTTGGCCTCCCAAGCGGCGCATGCCACACTTTTTCCGCTTTTTCTGATTTTTCTGAGTTTTCCAACAGCTAACGGTAATTTACAAAAGCAATGTCTATTTTTGTACCGCCGCCTGTGCTGCTGCTGCTGCACAGTTGTATCTTGTAGATACATTTTTAAACTTATAATTTAAAAACAAGCACAAAGTCAAGGCATTGTTTAGCTGTGTGATTATGATGATGATTGTGGTCTCTTGTTCCTGTTGTTTTTATACCCTTCTATAGGGTTTAATACTTTCATTATATACATTTTCCATACATTTTTTTTTTTTTAACGATGTAATATAAGGCTATGTTTTGATCCAGTTTTGCACTATGATTTTAATCATTTATATGTCCTTCAATAATTTGTTTATATAAGACTATCTTAATATGTACAAGTATATGATTATTATTATATTTATGTTTTGTGAAATTTATTTAGTATTGCATTACTTTTTTTTGAGAATTCTTGATAACCTTCCATATAAGATATTTAAAAGGGTATTTCAACTTCGTCTTTAAAACTTTAGTTTCCCTTCTTTTTTGTTTCATTATATTTTCTACTATTACTATTATACCCCTGCAGGCGAAAAAAGCCAGAAAAATGTGTTAATGTGTGAGAAGAATCCGTTCTCTGCATTTTTGTTTTGGCTTGTAGTCATTTTTTGTTTTGTTCGCCGCTTTAAGTTATTAGACAACATAGCGGACACAAACTAATTAAAGCGACCAGAACAAGACGGAAGATGAGGCGTCACCCTGTAGATACATTTACTCAGATATATATATTTTTTCTGCTTTTTTTGTTTTTGCGAAAAAACATACTGCAAAACTAAAGCGAAACGCAGTCAAGCAGAAACTCTAACGATTGCTAATTATAAAGAGACTAAGTGACTCTCAGAAAAATCTGAGATCATTGCTCTCTGCAAAGAAAATTTGCTTATGAAAAGAAAGTCGTAAAAACTTTACACGAGCAAATTTTAAACACGAAAATAACCACAAAAACGCCAAGTCGTTAGCAGCTAATAAAAAATATGTAAAAGATATAAACAATTTGCTTACCTTGTAGACCTGACCGTAGGTGCCATTGCCCACAACTTCGATGAGTTCAAAGATGCCAGCTGGATCCTGAAAGACAGAAAAGAGATATGGATGAGCTAGGGAAAATCAATGTGTGGAAACGCCCGAAAACTAAAAATCCTTTTTCTCCCAGCTGCCGAACACACAAGCAAACAAAGAACCCGCAAAAAAAACCCCTCTTAAATCCCTCTTTTTTCAGAACCCGCACCACTTAAACAACCTTTAAACACGAACGTTTACGCTTTGTTTTTGTTGTTTGTAAACAAATTATTAAGGCATAACAATACAAATAAGGAGAGACAAGTCCGGAGCGGAGTGCCTCTGGCACTGCGTTAAAAATAAAAATCCTCGATTTCCAAATTCCGATTCGGATTCTCATTCCCAAACCCAACGCCCCACACTTCCATGCCCATTCTCGATCCCAAAAGCCATACAAATTGCATGCGAGTTCATTGACACGCCATTCGTGACACGGGCGTGACACGAGAAGAAAAACAAGAGGCTTTCTATTTTTATTGGAGCGCGCAGGTGATGAGGGCAAAGGGGGACTTGGGAATTGGGATTACAAAGACGTCCAGAACCGACAGGTAAGGCAAATGCCAATTAAAATAACAACAAAAACAAGAACGCCGGCATTTCAACAGGTAACTGACTTTTTTGACAACCTGAATTGACGCTTACAGCTACGGCAAAAGTTGAGGGGTTAAGAGCCACGAGGCGCACATAAAGAAATTGTACTCAATAGATATTGATTTAATAGGGTTGTTGGTTAAGAAGTTATTCATAGAAATTTATTATGGTCTTTTGATGGTCTTATTATCCTAGGGCAACAATGTTTATATTGTTATCTATGCCTCTAATTATGGAATAAATATGTAATTTATAAATTATGCTAACGACAATATTTTATGAGTTGTTTATAAGTATTTGCCTTTTTTTTATTCGTCTTTGATTATTTATTACTAATACCAGAACATGTTGGTAATTATAGCGTCAGTGAATGCATGAAAAAATTGCAATATAAAAGTTATTTATAAGACATGCTGACGGTAATATTTTATAAGTTGTTAAGAAATATTTGCCTTTTTTATGTTTTATCATTGTTTGTTTTACTACTATTACTAGAACCTTACTTACTAGAAAAGTAAAAATAAAAATGTAAGTATTTTGTAAATTTTTATAGTATTACAATATTTTCAGTGTACAATTCAATTGATGTTCCACAAGAAACGAGAAGTTAGTAAAGTGCAGTTAGTGCTCCAAATTCAGTTGGTGCAAAAGTTCCACAACAAGTTAAGCAGACTAACTTAAAAGAAGGTTGATTGAAGTCATACAAGATTGGTTGTCACAAAGGATAAGCTCAAGAAAAATCAATACGTTATTTATGGGGGAATGGCATTAGGACAATCTATTTCTTGTGGCATCCTCAAACGATTGATTTATGGCATATCATAAGTTGTCAGGCTTTATGCGACTTTAATCCCCATCAAACGAACTGCAGTTTTTCACCCCCCGTTTGAATTTCCCCATGATTTCTTTCACAGGGTAGCTGAAGCTCCTTAAGCTTCAGGAATTAGAGACCAAAAGACAAAAAGTCAACAACCACAAAAAAATATAGTAAAAGTAAAGAAAAAAACCACGAAATAAACAAATAGGGGAAAATAAAAGGGGAGGGGAAAGGCGGAAAAACTGAAGAACTATGGAAGCCGCTTTAAGTAGATTTATGGCTGCACCCCCAGCCCTATTTTTTTTTCTACCACTCGAGAGCCCGAAAAGTGTGTCAAACCCATGCGATAAAGGGAAAGGCAGAGGAAAAGGCAAAAAAAAAAGCAGCAAACAGCCCAGAGACAAAGAAAACATGCTGGGAGTGCGGCAGCAATTACTGCTATTTATGGCTGATTACTTCACGTTGTAAAAATCAATTAAAAATTCACGAAAAATGAACTCACTGAATGGAGTGAAAAACGGCAAAAAAAACGCGAGAGAAAAGTATCTGCTGCTGGAACCACTCACTCCATGACTCATTAGCGTTGACATGTTAAGCTAAGTAAGACAAAAACAAAATGAGCAGTGCAATGGGCGAGTTGTTCGGAGAGGGAAATGGAAAAACCTGGGGCAGGTAGCCGTTAGAAAAAAAAGTTCTAGACGGTGGTCAGCAATCGTGCACCGGGAGAAAAAATTATTAATTGATAATGGTAATCTTTATAGCAAGCAATAAAATTTAAAATTGAGATTTCAAACATTTATTGATTTTCTGTACAACTTAAAAGAAAACTTATAAATCTTCTAAATTATTAATTTTAGTTTTAATATTAGTATTCTATAAATCAAACAAATTTTTTGGGCAATAGAAATATTATTTTCATAATCAAAAATATTTTTAGTTTAAATTTTTATAGGTTTAAATTTGATTTAAAATATTTTTAAGCATAAATCGAAGGGAAAACTCACTTTTCCAAATCATAAACAAAATTTGTTTATTTAAAAATCAGGGATGCTAACATATATCCATTTTTTCTCCCCGTGCAGATTTGGTTACAGTTATCAGTTGGCAGCAGGCAAAACAGGCTGGTTCGGATGTTGTTGTTGTTGCTGTTACTGCTGGTTCATTCCTGCCGCTCTCTTTGGAAATTGTCCAGCTGCCGCCACATGTGTCCCCCTTGTCCCCTCCCCCTTTTGCCTTTTGTTTGCCTTACGTCTCTGGGCCCCCCTATATTCTTGTTGTTGTTGCTCCGGTCGCTCTCTTTGTTTTTGTATTTGTCCAAACGGGTACAACTAAAACTAAAACTAAACAACCCGGTAAAGGCCGAAAGAGCGGACCAACGCAGACGCTGGCGGTACAGTGGAGCTTCTTATCATGAATTGGATAATATTATAAACAAACAAATTTGTAATATATTTATTTAATTTATGCCAATATTTTATTAAGGTTTGTAATACATGCATTTTTTTTTTAATTTATGACAGTACTTTATTTTTGATTTAATTGTGATTAATGAAAATATAAGATTATATTTCCTAAAAATTAATAAAATTAAGTAGAGGTTAAAACATTTTCATGTATCCTTATAAAACTTGCATTTTAATGTTACTAGTAATTGATTGCCTAACTCTCGGTCTGATATTATACTGAAAGGTAGTTTGAAAGGTAGATTATTGATTCTAGATTAATCTTATTTATCGACTTACTACTGCCTTAAGCCAGAAGTTTGTCGCCGTCTGTCTCTTCGGTTAGTTGCTTCATTATTACAGTTTGCTTGGCCTGGCAAACTGGAATTTTTTGAGTTGCTTTGTTTTGTTTTGTTTGTTTGTCTAAAAGCGCAGAACTCCCCTTCCCCTTCAAAAAGGCTTGGCCCAGTTAGCATCAAAAAATGCAAAGAGCAGGAGAGTGGCTTAAAACAGGACTGACTGCATATTAGGACGCCCATGCAATTCAATGGATCTGGCTTATGCAGATTCAGTGGATTGCACTAAGAAAATTATTATATAATACAAAGCATTCTTATGTTTTCTAAGTGGAATTGAAACCGTTTAAGGTTAAATTTTGAACTGATTAGATAAATAATCTTTATATTCGAAGTGCAATAATTGAATTTTACTATTTTTAAGATTTAATCGAAACTGACTAAAAATACCAATATTTTTATCAGTGATCCAAACTAGGTCTCTTTGGTGGTTTAATTTGTGTGGGTCGCGTGGCCAATTCGATTAGGAATGCACTCCGCTGACGTCACAAAACCCATTTACCTACATTTTGGCTATCAGCAGCCAACTCTGATTAGAGCTGATAATTTTCAGACCGATTTCCACATTTCCACATTTCCACATGGAATAGATAGATTTCCCAATACTCTGGGGAAATTCGCTTTTATAAACAGAGAGATGGCTCTTCCCGAACTCTATAAAAAGTATTTCCCCGGGGCCAATGTTGTTTTAACCCACAAAAACTGAAACATGTGTGGATTTTTTCCACTCTTCGTCGCCGTTTTCCTTTAGAGCAAATTGCAACACAGACGGACACATGGAAACCGAACAAATGTGGGCGAACACGTTTATCGCAGCTAACGAAATGCAATAAATGTTGATTAAAATAAACAACAACAAACACTAAGGGAAGTTTAGGACTTTTAAATTTTTAAAAATATCACTTCTTATTTTAGACCACAAAAATATTTTCGGTTGAAATGTGTATGTACATAAAAGGCCTAAGAGCTTAACTTTTGAATGGATTATCGTTATAAAATAACCTTTTCATGTTTTTTTTCCAGTGTAAAAGGCAGACAAAGAAATAGCCACACCAAAAAGAAGACAAACCGCGTTTGAATACTTATCAGAGGAGAATAAAAGAAACTGCCCATAATACAAATAAAGGGGGAGTCGTAAAAAAACAGAAATAATTAGTGAAATTTGTGCTGATGAATGCAGTTTGCACTATCTTATCGGTCTTAAGGAATGGAGTTCTTATCGTGTGAAGAAATAACCAGAACGGAAGCCTCATAAAACAATTCAGTTTTGAAAGAAAAAACCAGAGCGAAGCTTTAAGGACTCTGACCTTTTCACGTTTTCTATTTCGGGACATTCCACAGCTCACTCGCATTGTGTTTAATGACCTTTAAAAGCCACGCACAGACAGGTCAGCAGAATATGGCAGACATGCAGACTGGGGGGACGCCCACGCCCACATTACCGCCTCCTCGCACAAAAGGAGGAGAAGGCCAAACAAAAATAAAAACAACACTTCAAACAAGACACACAATTCATATTCTCATGCCTGCTGCCATTTTTGCTGATTTTGCTTTGGGTTCGTCGTCGGTTTTCTTGGCAGTCAGTGTGTGCTCCATCTTAATCATCATTTTCATCATCATTATCATTTGGATCCACATTATCACCATCTTCAAGCTGTCTGCTGCAGCACAGATACAAAAACGAGTACAAATACAGTACCAGATACATGCGGCTCACATAGATACAAAAGCACGCATGGTGTTGCTCTGCTCGCTTCTGCCTGCCGCCTTTTAATAAAGTAAACTAAACAATTTTCATTCTTGTCTCGTTTTTGTCTCGTCTTCGTTGCTCTGCATCGACTATGAACAATTTTTCATGAACACACACGAACAAACAGTTGGGGCCAAAATAATAGTTTTGTAAGAGTGTTTCTTAAGCGGTAATATTAAGTTTTCTATTAAACTTTAAAGTTTTTTTAATTAAAATTAGGCTAAAAAAAGTCTTTGAACCCAAAAATAATTTCGGTTTTACTAAAAAAGGAACCCTTTTTAAAGCGATGTCTATGCTAATAATATTTTTATAATAAAGACAATTTTCTCAATATTTTCTATAGGAAAATACATTTCTGTCATACCAAAATGCACTTTTTTAAGGACCCCGTTAAAGCCTATTGTATTGACCTCATCTGTGTGGAGCACACTTTCACACACACTTACATCGGCGCACATGCCGCAGCAGCGAGGCGACGACCCAAGCACCACCATCACCCCACCACCCCTCATTTTCCAGGCAGAGTCAACAAACGGACACTCACACACACACAGACACACACACACACACATCCATGCGAAACTGAACTTTCGGTGGGTGCGCAAAAGAGAAGGCGCCCAACGTGGGGCCGGCGGGCGTGGTGAGTTCCGTTCCGCCACCAAGTGGTGGTAGTGGTGAGAGTGGTGAGTGTTTGGTGAAAGAGAAAGGCAACAAACGCATGCGGCAGTGCGTGCGGACCAAAGGGGGGTTAAGAGGGGGCTAAGGCGGGCGAAAGGGGGTTAGGACTCGAAAAATTCATTGAGAAACGAAACGAAACAAAAAATAGCTTGGCAAAGCGGAGAAGATGACACCGGCCGGTCAAAAGTTGCGCACACCACTTCTCCCACACAAAAAAATATAGGGTGGGTGTTAAGTTGGGTGGTTTTCTATCAGGCAATGAAATCGAAATGCCAATATGCATTTATCAACTCGATTATTATTGTGATTGCTTCGAGGGGGAGAACAAAAATGCAAAAAAAAAAATGCAAAAAAAACCTTTTCTGGTTGCCATGGCAAAGTGGCAAAAAATAAAAACCGAACACAAAGAAATGCTCTCTTTTGTTGTACTTTTAAACAATTTACATAAATGTGCGGGGAAACCTTCAAGGGTTTGACGACTGCAAAGGCCAATGGTGGAGTCGCGTTGTATAAGATATTCTGGGGTATTTATGGAACACAGTTCCTCACAAGGGTTCTCTTTACAAATCGTAAGGCTTTAAAATTTAGGGAATAATCCAATTGGAAAGTCAGTTGAGGGTTGATCAAAATCAGCTGTGAAAACAAATAATCTAAAGGAAATGAAAATATTGGTTTCTGACGTTTTCTGACTTTATTGGAATTATGGGAATTTTGATTCGTCTGTGGTTTCAAATTCAGTTTCATAATTTTAAAGTATAATTGTTAATTAATTTAGTACAAACAAATAAAAAGTATTAGAAAATAAATAAATAAAATTGATGAGCTATTTCAAGAGTTGATAACATTAAGGCAACAGGGTATAAGTTTATTTTAATATTTTTTGGTTTTAAGTGTTGTAATTAAAAACATAAATATATATAATTAAACTTTAATAAGTGATTTTCTTGTACTTAATAAAATGTTTTCTTATGAACTTAAAGCAGAAACAAACAAATATCAAACCTATTTAATTAGAATACATTTTTTTAGGAAAAAGACAATTTAAACTGTAAAAAGAATATAAGGTCAGTTGTGATCCCATACATATTTTATGAACTTTTATAGTCCCATTAAAAAGAAGTACAATAAGTAAGAGAAAAACTACTCAATCTAATAATATAATATAGGGAACGGATTGTGTTTATAAAACAAACTGATTTATAAAACTTATGGGATTGCCACAATAAATTGATGAAATTCAATAGTCCCATTTTAACGAATTATGAACGGAAATTGAAGTGTAAACGACCACACCTGGAGGAATCACGGGGCGGTCACTTTCCCGTTAATTGGGTGAGGCGTGTTAATGAATAGAGATGATGGGGAGTGGGTAATATTCGGCCTCTATTTTTGGGGAGCTCTATTTTCAGGCGGCTCTATCTCCATCTCCGATAAACTTTACGTTATGTACTTACTTTTAGGGCCGTCAGATCGATATCGTCCAGTGAACAGTTGACCGATGGAGCTAGTTGTTGTTGCTGCTGGTGCGCCATTTTGATTTGCTATTTTTTGTTGTTCTTCTGGATCTGGAGAATTGCTGCTGCTGCTTCTTTGCACGCAGAAAGAGGAGCGGAGAGAGGTGGAAATGGGAGAAATGCAAATGAAACGGCGAAAGAGAATGGCAAAACAAGAGGAGAAGAAGCAAAGCTCAAGGATTAGATTTTAATTTTTAATAGTATTTACTTAAAGCGCTAAATATCACAAAAAAAACCCGTGCAATTAACAAACTATTTGTTGCTGTCATACAGCTTTTCTCTTTTTTTTGCTTCTCTGCTCTTCTTCTCTCTCTCACTATCTCTCTTTCTCTCTCCCTCTGCCTGCGTGTGTGTGTGTGTTTTTGTGACCGAGTGTTTGTGTGTGTGTGGGTTAGTTAACATTTGGCAAACGGGGCGCGGCTCATTTTTAATTTCCCAGCACTTTTAAAAATCTTTATTTGCCTTCGAAACCTTTATTAAACACTGCGGCTTCGACTGCCTCCTCTTCTTCGGACACACACTGCACAATTTGATTTTTACTTAGCGGCGCTCCGATAGACCAGCCAACACACACCCACACCAGCAGCCTGCGTATGTGTTTGTAGAGGTAGACATAAAAAATCTGCCACTCGCTTTTTTCCTTCCTTTCTCGCGCAGGATATTCGCGATTTTCCCCGTTTGGATTTGGTTTTACATACTCTTCACGCACAGCGATTGGGCGGCCTATCGCTTTTGCATCGCACAAACGGCAGACTTGTTCAATTTCCTTCGGTTTCGGTTCGATTCTGTGTGAAAATCAGAGCGAGTGTCCGTTCAACGCGACGCCAAAATCTCGCACCTCTCGCTCTCGAATTCGAATTTACAATAGAGATGGCAAAACATCGACCAATCCATTCACAATAGAGCAATCGAGGTGGAGAAACATCGATGCCAAAAGCGATTGGTCGGTCCGTTGAGGTTTAAAGCTTCGGTGGTTGGGAACTTGGCAGCACCGATGTCAACATCAAACGACGTGTTCAAAACATCGATAGTTGCACTTCATCGGTGCCAATAACGTATCCTTAAATTCTGAGTACAAATCACATTTTGAAAAATGTATTCTTCAATTATATTAACATTTAGTTCTCAAATTTTCAGATACGAAAAAAATTAAAGTTTGTGCGTAAGGTTTTGCCGAGACAAAAATATTCCTACGTTTCTTGCCGATTTTTAACCGATGTTTTTTCGGTGCAACGGTAAATTCTTGGCGCGAAAGAATTTCAATTTACATGTTGGCCCTCTTTGCTTCCGTGAACTAGAGGCGTAGTCGAAAGACAAGGCAGTTTGAATACAGAGTACATATTAGCCATTATTTAAAAGTTCACAAATCCATTTAACAACTTATCCATACCATTAAAAATAAGATGGTGGCCCTGTGGGAACACGACTCCACCATCCATCAAAAATCCGAACCATTTCTCTTGGATGGGCTCTGTATATATTTAATATATATATAACCATTGTTTTGAGCACTCGGAGGAAGAAGTAGTTGAGTCTAATGTGAATTGGCCATAACCCAACAAGCGGAATCGCTTCAGCCTTCGCGCCTAACAGCACGCAATGTCATTTTAACAGCACGCTGTTACCGCGGTGTTATCGACTGGGGCCCACCTCTGCTGTCACACTGATACTTCCCTCTCTTTCTTTTCTTTTCCATCGAAATTTTGGTACGATTCGCATCCGCTCGCCGAAACAAAAAATAAATCGTGCAATTTAACAACATTTATCGCAACATCCACGGAAAATGGCGCCCGAAATGGGGGGCCTGTTATTGGCGACGCCCGACAACACCGATATTTCGTGGCGTGTTGCGATGGACGGGCGTTAAATTATGATTATTATTTCCAAAGTGGATGCCAAATAATAATTGTGTGAATTTACCTTTGCAGCAATGGGTCGCGTTATTCGTGCACAGCGTAAGGGCGCTGGTTCCGTGTTCAAGGCGCACGTGAAGAAGCGCAAGGGAGCCGCCAAGCTGCGTTCCCTGGACTTCGCCGAGCGTTCCGGCTACATTCGCGGAGTTGTCAAGGTGAGTAGGTGGTCCAGGAGGAGCTACAGTGGAGACTGACTGGGGAGGAACTAGCTTATATATGTAGCATGTCCATTGAAGTGAGAGATTGTGCCATCTGCCTCATCAGAAAGTTAAGGAGGAGCTACAATAATGACTCTCCATCGAAGAACAAGTACTCAAGGTCCATTGGAGTTTAAGTTTGTTGAGTATCCATCTGCCAGATCAGAATGTTGAGCGTTATAGATATTGCGTTGTAATAGTAATTGGAATTCATTTTCTGTTGGTACCAGCTTGTCGTTTAGATACATTTTGAAGTGAATGAGTGGTACAGGAGGAGCTACAGCGAGGTCTGCCTGTGGAGGAACTGGTAGCCAAGAGTTTCTATCTGTTTGCATGTACATTCGAATGAGAGTATTTTGGAAATCCACGGCCACATCTGAAAGAAGAACTTGTACTCGTATCCATTGTCTGAAGTTAGTTTCTAATTCCATAAATTTCTAGTTTTATAGATTTACCCTTTGAAAATACGATTGTTTATAATGTAGTCAGTCCCTTTAATGGAATAAGATATAAGTTTTCTTTAATATTTACCCCTTTAAAAATTGACCTGACTAATAAACACCCCACTATTTACTTCTTCTAGGACATCATCCACGATCCCGGCCGTGGTGCTCCTTTGGCCGTCGTCCACTTCCGCGACCCCTACCGCTACAAGATCCGCAAGGAGCTGTTCATCGCCCCCGAGGGCATGCACACCGGCCAGTTCGTGTACTGCGGCCGCAAGGCCACCCTCCAGATCGGCAACGTGATGCCCCTGAGCCAGATGCCCGAGGGTACCATCATCTGCAACCTGGAGGAGAAGACCGGCGATCGTGGCCGTTTGGCCCGCACCTCTGGCAACTATGCCACCGTGATTGCCCACAACCAGGACACCAAGAAGACCCGTGTCAAGCTGCCGTCCGGCGCCAAGAAGGTCGTGCCCTCGGCCAACCGCGCCATGGTCGGCATCGTCGCCGGCGGCGGTCGTATCGACAAGCCCATCCTGAAGGCCGGTCGTGCCTACCACAAGTACAAGGTGAAGCGCAACAGCTGGCCTAAGGTGCGTGGTGTGGCCATGAACCCCGTGGAGCATCCCCACGGTGGTGGTAACCATCAGCATATTGGTAAGGCCTCGACCGTCAAGCGAGGCACCTCCGCCGGTCGCAAGGTCGGTCTCATCGCTGCCCGTCGTACCGGTAGGATCCGTGGTGGCAAGGGCGACAGCAAGGACAAATAAGCTTGAGCACTGGCTGCAGCAGGATCATTCCGGCGTGGAGCAGGTTCCGCCTGAGATCTGGGCAGTAGTCGTACTCTTCCGTGCGGCGCTGCTGTGGGAGAAAATGCTATTCTACATGGAAAATCTGTATGTTGTCGGCATACACTTGACACGGCGGAATAAAACTTATTTGTAAAAAATAATCTGTATATGTTTTTGGAAATTGGATAGGGAGAAATGTGGCTTTATGTTTTGGGTTTCTTAATAATTATAAGTTTTTGCTGAGCAAATACAAGCCCTTGCTTGAAAGAGAGGTTTTTTTTTTTTGATCATAGAGAATAATTTCTGTTTGCAAAAAATTTATTTCGATTTGAAGATGGTTAGACAAGGCAGTTTTATGCAGAGCACTCTGAAATTCGTTAAGTTTTGATAGTTCTAGATATTTGATAATATATATTTGAAGGATCCTAATATTTAAAAAAATTGTTTATTTTGGATAAGTTCTGTAAAGGAAAATTTGATTGATAAATTTTTCGTTGGAAATATGTTAAAAAACATCCATTAGCTTCTAAAAACAATTTAAGTATAACATGTACTTTCTGTTGGCTTCTTAATGTTAATGTTTAATGCAAATTTTTAAACTTTTTGAATTTGTTATCCTCGAGAGATTTGACTTTTGAAATCTGAAAATTGGTTGGTCCAAGATTATTGTAAATATTAAGAAATTAAGTTTTGAGCCAGAGTTCTACAATTTTATTTAATGATGAATATTTTATACACTTAATCCTAATAAATTTCAAAATAGTTTATTTTTTAAATTTAAGTATTCGGTATATACCACCCTACAACACACGGCCACACTGCGTGGTGCTGCCATAAAACCCACAAACGGTCCCTCTAAACGTTGTTGGTGTGCGCGGAGTGAAATAAATCAAAGTAATTTCCGTCGAGCGCTGCAAAATAATGGATCGCACTTTCTACGAAGGCTGGCTAATTAAATCGCCGCCCACCAAGCGCATTTGGCGAGCAGTAAGTTTCCTTTCGGAAGCCCCAAATACCGAAAACCCCGAAAAGGAATTTCACGTACAAGACCAAAGGAATTTTTGTGAAAACCCTAGCTCAAAATCGGAATCAAAATCGTATCGAATCGAAAATTCCAAGTGATTAGTGAAATGTGAATAGAAAACCGCAATTAGCTAACGGTAAACTTAAGGCCGGAAGAGAGATATACCGTAATCTGTGGACATCGATTGAGTCACGAAAAAGAAAAAAAAAACGATGGATAATGGAAGTGGCATTTTTTTTTACAATTACCCTAAGCCTGTATTGGTGCCTACTTTCGTGTGTTTGTGTATGTGTTTGTTTGCCGTTGTTGTTTGTGGTATAATTTAATTCATTATTAAACCGAGGGATTGCAATTCCAGTTGATTGGAATGCAAACAAGCAGAAAACCGCAGCAGAAATTGCAGAATGTGAATGAATTTACGATGGCTTCCTCTGCGTTTTCTCCCTTTTCTTTCTCTTATTCCTCCTCCGCCTCTGTCTCCCCATCTCCCTCCCCCACTCTCTTTCTGTTTATGTTTGCTTTTGGCGTGGGAACGTGTTTTTGTTATTGGCGCTGGTCTAAATTTACGCTTAATTAATTTTCCGTTTACTGTTTACTTTAGGGAGCCGTTCGTGTATTAAATTACCGCCCAACTGTTGCGTTTAATCAAATTTATTTTCACCGTAATTTAATGTAGCAAGTATGTCCATATGTGTGTATGTTTTCTTTTATGTGCATTTGTATGTACATAGCTTGTTTTTTATGTGGACGGGCGATAACACAACAGAGTAACAAAAAACAATGACGCACTTGTCTTTCCAGCTCCTTGTAGTTGTTGTTATTGCTTGTGCTAGAGATGGGTGCGTGTTGTGGTTTTAATAGTAACAGGAAGTGTAGTTTCGTCCCAGGTTGTCTAGTTAGGACTAAACAAATATATACATATACGAAGTCCAAATCTGGATTTAAAAAATAGCTTTAATATATAATTAATTTTGTTCTTTCGAAAAAGAGTTATAATCTCGTAAAGGGTTTGTGATAAGATACTTTACTCACGCGCCCATCTCTAAAGTGTACATTTGAAACCACTTATAACGGATACGACAGTTCCAAGAACACCCAAAACGTTGATCAAAAGGTCTGCAATACAGCATTTTTCAATTACTGAAAACCAAATTTATGGTTTCACTGTACTCACTTTGTTTGCTTTTGTTTAAGCATACAATAGCTGTCGAAATAGTATAACTTATTATCCTTAGTTTTCGGAAATCAAGCCGAAAAGATAGTGAAATATACTTTTTAATCTGATTGATCTTTGATGAATACTTACAAAAGCTAGAAATCAAGGTTGAATTTACAGAAGTCTTCCTGAAAATTCAAAATTCTAAGCAAGTTAAACGTAAACATTCCATTTTTAGAATTATCAACATAAACTTTCGTTGCTATTATTTTGAGCACCACTGTATAAACAAACAATAATGATGCCTCAAGAAAATAAGCTGCGTATTTCAAGCGCCTGGGGGTGCCAATTTCTGGCTTGTGTGTGACATTATGTTTATTGTTTATAATTCCATTAAGCGTGATATTATACAGTCCGAATAAAACCATCCATTATCAGTTGGAGTTTTCATATCCACTCATCAACTGTTTTGGCAATCATTTAACGGTAACGTGGGCGTGGGGTGTTGATTCGTGTGTCTGTGTGTGTGTGTGTGTGCCTGCTGATTAACCAAGAAAATGTCAATGCAAAATATGATTCGCGGAAAAGCAGCAGCGCAGCGTTGCAGTCTCAGTCGACTTTGCAGTCGGCTTCATCGCCACCCGCTTACTCACCACCAGTTAATGTTGATAGTATAGTATAGTCAGTCGTTAAGCTGGTCAGCCGGATCGGTAGTGGACTGCTGCACCCCCATATCACCATCCACAGTCCATCGTTCACTAAGGGTATCATAATTCACAACAGAAGTATAAACAACATTGTAAAGCACACTTTTTTATCCAACTCTAGGCACAAATATAATAAGAGATTTCTTATTTTTACATTATTTTAATGTTAAAGAAGGCATTCAAATTAGCTAAAAATATAAACATAATTTAAAATGGATGCCTTATATTTATTAAACTGATTAGAAACTTGTCTTGTCACTAAACACAATTCATCTCTGCTTCCCAGAAATATAAGTATAAGGTTTTTAATCGGTTTCCACAATCAACAATAAATTGAAATGTGTACGAAACCTATTTAAGTTTAAACTAATAAGATTCTGAAGAACTGATTTTGGAAAATTTGAAAACATAACAAATGGCTAAAATGAATTTGCTTGCCCAGATGACTAATTATCTCGATCTGTTAGTCATCATCTTTTATAGTATCTTAGACTCCCACCAGAAATGATGATTTGATAAAAACTATCACACAACCTGCAGTTTAATGCATTTGGTATATATGACTGGGATTACCATATAACTTATCTATTTTAAAAGGAAATTTCGAACGAACAAGGGGAATCACTGCATTTACTTTTTTCTGTATGTAAAGATATAACATAATTATTATAAGTTTCGATGGGAAAAACTTCAAGATATAAAGAAACAGCCTAAAATGGCGACATGTACGATGATTTTTTTGATGGATTTGATATAATATGATATACTACTATCTACAGAGCAATTTAATTAGCATTAAGGACTAGAACTTCCTATCGAAAGCTTTGATTCTTCAAGCCCCTTGTTGTTTACTCACTTTGCGCCTCATTCCAACTCTTTGACGCCCTGTTTCCATTGTATCTTTGCAGCGTTGGCGGCGTCGCTGGTTCACACTGAAGCAGGGCGAGATACCCGAGCAGTTCTGCCTCGAATACTACACCGACCACAACTGCCGCAAGCTGAAGGGCGTCATCGATTTGGATCAATGCGAGCAGGTGGACTGTGGGCTGCGGCTGGAGAATCGAAAGCAGAAGTTCCAGTACATGTTTGATATTAAGACGCCCAAGCGCACCTATTACCTGGCTGCCGAAACGGAGGCGGATATGCGCGACTGGGTCAACTGCATCTGCCAGGTGTGCCATCTGCATGACACCAAGCAGTCGAATGAGTTGCCTCTGGGAGCTGTGGGGGCAGGTAAGTGGTTTCCTGAACCATCAGTCATCACTTTCTTCTTACACATTTTATTCTTTACAACATACAGATGATAACCGCACCCAGCACACAAGCTCCAGTGGCGGACTGAGCAACTCCACTCAAAATACGACCACCACTTCGTTGCACTCCTCGGCTGGCACCACTGCGGCGAATGCTGGAGGAGCGGCGGCCCAGTTGCGACGACCGGCGGTCATTGAACAGCAACCGATGCCCTCGAATGCGGGCAACAACAACTCGGACTCGGTGTATGTCAACACGGAGTATAGCAATCGCGAGACGATGCTATGCGATGCCAATTTCGATCAGCAGGATCTGCTTTCGGCTGCCCAGCAGCAACCGCCGCCATCGCCGGCAACTGCTTTGTATTTAAACCATAGTGCTTTGATCCAAGCTCAGGCAGCGGCAGCAGCTGCCAAACAACAACTGCATCAGCAACAACAACAACAACAGGCTCGTCTGGCTGTAAACGCCAATGGAGTGGTGCGAAAACTCCCAGAGCACCTGGTGCTCACCCAACAAACATTGGCTGAGGATACTGCCCAACAGGACAGCAGCAGCAGCGTTCAGGCTTCACCCGCTTTGAGCACCGCCTCGGGACCGTATATACCCATTAGCGAATGCTTTTCGGGTACCCCAAGATTCCTGACCGGCAGTGCGATTCCCGGAGGAGCAGATGTGGCCATACCAAACAATCCCACAACGCCGTTGAACAACTTGGATCCCAAGTTCTACGATACGCCGCGTAGTCATAATAACATCGGTTTGAATCTGACCAACGATCAATCCAACTCACCCAAGATCACCAATTTGAGTCTGGTAAGTTGAAAATAAGGCTTTTTAAAGCAGTAAATATGTTGTAACCTTGTACAAAATTGTACAAAACACAAACATTCAATATCTATATTATTTACTTTGCGTACATCATTTTGTTACACCTTTTAATAAACCTTTCTGTATATTATGATAATTCGCTGAATTTACTTGTCCATTAAAAAAATATATTGGGGTTCACAATCCAACTCGTGTCTTACAACCTTTAAAGTATATAAAGGCAATTATATAATCCGATTTTATATAGAATTTTTAAAGTAATGTCGTTTTATTTGCTTTCCAGCAGCAATTGGCCAACACCAATGCCAGTAAACAACGTTCCGACTCGGATTCAGAAAGCGTGTTCACCGATGACGATGAGTGGGCCCATCCTTTGCCCCTGCGCGAGAATGTTGGTGAGTATTGCACAACCACATTTTATTTACAACTATTATTAATTTTAAATTTATTACAGATCGCAGCACCCGACCCTCGGATAGTTCCATTGAGAATGAATCGTTTGTGCTGACCTACTCGCAGCGTTTCTCCAAAATGCCCGAAGAAGGTGGAGCTGTGGTGCCGCCAGCTGACAAGAATTCCAAGCTGGCGGGAGCAGCATCTCTGGCAGAAGCTGGTGACCAACGAACGCTGGAGAAACTGGCCAAAGTGCTGAAGAACAAAAATAATCTCATACTGGACTTTAAGGAGAATGAAAAGTGAGTTGAAAGCTGGGTTCGTTATGCAAGCCACTGTGTTTTACATTTGTTATTAACAGGTTAAACGTTAGCAAAACAAGTGAAAACAAATTAATATTGTGTGTCAAAAATAGCAGTATATTTAATTCGAAATTATTATTTATAAAAACATAATTAGGACCGCGAATTCTTTAGCAGGAGAAATCAACCTCTTTTTTCTCGTATTCGAAAAAAGTTATTTATTAATAAAAGTGATAAGTTAACACTCGGTAACATTTAGAACAAGTATTATTACTGTTACTGAAGTGTAACTTAAAACTCTAGAACATTTTTCAATTGAACTAATAGTAAATCGGTTTCTTTACAGAAATCCTCGCGATCTGCCGCCGCTGTCGGATACGGAAAACACTTCTCCGGCAATTGTGGCTCGCCGTAATGCCCATTCAGCCACCATCGAGGAAAGCTACGACATTCCACGCTCCCACCAACTGCCCTACTACAATCTCAACCAGCTGCTGAGCGAGCGACCAGTAACCAGTCCGCACAACTCCAATCCCATTGCGGCGTCCACACCGAATCTCATGGCAGCCGGCTTGGGCTCCATGACTGCCATATTAACGGCAGCCAATCCCGCCCAGATTGGCGCTGCTCAGCCAGTCGCCTCTTCGCCCACCAGTGCGCGCACGTTGCCGCGACATTGCTACACAAATGCAGCGCCCACCAAAATGGAGGGCAATGTGTTTCGCTACGATTTTGTGGAGCAAGCGGATTGCCCGCCGGTGAATCGCAAGCTCAAGCCAAAGGGTGTGGGTGGATTACCTGCCGTTGAGGACAAGCCGCCGGAGGAGTTTCCCGCCAAGCCGCCGGTGGGTGTAGAGCATTTGACCAGTAAACTGGGAGCAGCGCAGCTCCAGCAACCGATTGGACCGCCCAGCGTGGACAGAAAGTGCAAGCCGAATGCCTATAAGGTGAGTTATAAACATGAGGGCTGTTTTAATGGAATCCGCTGGTCTAGAGCTCATAATTTTAAGACATTTTTGGGAATATATTTTTGTAATAGTCAATGAATGATAATTTTTCAATTTCGGAAGTATAATATACAAATACATAGTTATAATTGTAAAGTCATTTTTTTTTTATTATTTAGAAAATGATTTTGAAAGAATTTGAATTTTCTATTTTTCTGAAACAGAAACATCTAAAACACTGCCTACACTTCCTACAAAATTTAAAGAATATTCTCAAAAGCCTTTACTATTAAAATTCAATAAAAGAAAAAAAATATTGTTTGTTTTGTTTTAAATGAACTATTTAATATTGTCTCAATTATCTTTTCAGTTGGCCACCATGTCGCCGTCAACGCGTCGCTCCTCGGGAGCACCTCTATCCATGGTGCTGCCGCACGAAACGGATGTCCATTCGGCGGCAGGAGCCTCCTTCTTCCACGAAACCCGCACCCTGCCGCGCCAGCCGCATCGTCAGCATCCCAACAGTCCGGGCAGCATGTCGGTGCAACATCAACGCACTGCATCGGCGGCAGCAGCCATGACGAGCTTGGTGGGATCGGCGGCGGCTGCTGCTGCTGCCGCCCCAAAGCAACAACCAGCAGCTCAGGCTGAGCACAAGCTACAGTACTTTGATCTGGATGTGACCAACAAACCGCCATTGCTAAATCGATCCAGCATGAGTGTGGGAAATCTGTACTCGCAGGGTGGCAATGCGGCCAGTGGAATAAGGTTGGCTGGCGTGGATGCGGGTGGAGTCCGGGCACCAGTGCCCAGCAGCGTGGTCTACAATTTCGTGGACTTTGTCAAGACAGAAGCATTTAAGAGGATTCGGGAGGAGCGGCAGAGCAACGAGAGCAGCGGCAACAAGTGAATCTGCTGGTTAAAACATCTCACCAATGACAACGTGCAATAAGCAAGGACCACGTTGCGGATCCGTAATTTTTGTAGTGCCTATCCGGTGGCCAGCTGGCCCCAAACAGATAAAAAAAAAGTGCAAATTCCGAGTGGCTTTTTTACATTCATCAACATTGTCAAACTCACCACCTTTCAAACCACATATCTAGCTTGTAAGTCGGCAACACCAGCATTTCTGGGTGCTGCTTTGAATCTGTAATCCGTACTCTGTAATCCGTAATCCGTATCTGAATTTATGTCGTTCGTATGCGTATTTAAATCGTGCTTCCAACACTTCCATGTTTTATTATTGTTAAGCTTCGGAATCAAAAATATAACAATGACAAACGATCTTAGTGCTAATTTTACAATGCAAACAACTTATTTTATATACGCAAGCGAAATATTTATATATATACACGAATTTTATATGGTAACAAAATATTTACAATTTATAAATGTAACACGTGTGCGACACAAGCTGTAGCTTGATTTTGTGCTTTAAAAAAATAAATATACAATAATACCAAATTTTTATGTGTGTTGATGTTTGAAAATACTAGAACAAATATTGAATTTCAATTGTTTAAAAAGTTTTCAAATCTCTTGGAAATACTATAGCAACCCATGTTTTGAATTAAAACAAACGGAGTTGGTCAGGAAAAACTTGGCAACGCCCAAGTCGATTCCAAACAAACTTTCATTGTTACACGAATAGTCAGTGAACTAGCACGTTTTAGAGTTCTTTACCTTCAACCTTATATATTTTCATTAACAATGTCGCTGGTATATATCACCCACCACGATGAGAACATCTTCGGGTGTGAGAACGAGTTTGAGAGAGCTGCGGGCCCCAGGGAATCCGTATTTGTCTACAAAAATCGTAAGCAATGCTTTAAAAGCTTTAATCTTATAAAAACAGATACTTTAATAACACTGGTATACAAAATAAAGTCCGTATAGTCCTCCAGAAATTAAAATTTTGTTTTTAACGGTAGTCTTATTGATTTAGAAAATAACATTTAAATAATATATATCACCATATTTTATTTTTTAAGTAAAATTTATTTCATATTTATATTTTATTTCTCCAGTACTTCTTTAGATTTCAATTTCGATTTAGACGATTTCGTTTAATTATAACTTATTTTCCTAGAAATGTAACCGTTTTTTAACTTTTTTTCTTTCCTAACTTTCAACGTAATAAGAATTGTTTCATGCCTAGAGATTAACAAAATTTAAACAATTTGCTAAAATTCAGATCTGCTTTAAAAAATACACACCTAAAAGCCGAAATTATTTTCTTTGCAAAAATGTAGATATGAAATAAAAAAAGAAAAAATAAAACAGGTAATAAATGCAAATTACATTTAAACTAAATAAGGTTCTATACTATACTATCAGTTTTAAGTGAATCTGGTGAAGGGATTCAATTTTGTCGACTTTTGTAAGCCAGTGTAATTTTTCTGAAGAGAGCGTCACTTTTTCTTTAATCTCACTTTATTTGAAACTTTCAGCTATTGTGGAGCGGGCAGCCAAGTATGCCAGGGATCTGCGAGAGCGCTTCAATGAGGAGGACAAGAAGCTATCGGTTGTGCTGCAGAACGATGGCACCCGCGTCCTCACGGAGGCCAAGAAATCGCTGCATCGCACCATGGGCTGTGCCCACACTCCGATCGATCCACCGTGCGCCTTTCTGCGCAAGAATCAGGGCATCAAGTGGCGGCGGGAGAACACACACAAGTGTCCCAAGATGCCGCCCATGCCGCCATTGCCACCGGCCGGAAGTGGTGGCCACAAGTCCACCATGGCTCCGAATTTCATCAAACGCAATAAGATGTGCGCCAGGGAGACTGTACCCTGTCCCCCGCCACCGCGCTATGTAGACACTCCGGCGGGAACTCGTCACAATCTGCTGAATTCCGGGTTGGTGCCGCAGTTCATCTGTCGCAAGGACTTCGGCAAGGTTCCGGTTTATCTCAAGAAGAACAAACGGATGCTGGCCGACATGAATGCCGTGTGTGCCAAGGAGCAGGCTCGTTTGCTGGAGTTGTGCCGTGGCATCAAAGGATTCACCCAGGCATCCGTGAACGTAAGTGGTCCACCGGAAATGCCCGGAATGCGGGTGATGAACCAGCCGGAACGCAATGAGATCCTTGAAGGTTTACGCCTCAGCTTGACCGATATGACCAAGCAATATCAGTCGATGTCGCTATTGATCGACAGCATTGCCAAGCGGCAGCGGAAGTCCAAGCTGGAGTCCGACCTTCGCCAGGTGGAGCAGGATATTCTGTTGATCGAAACCACTCCGATTATCTATGTTTCCGAGTATTAGCAATGTCTTCATTAATTCATTATTATTTCTTAATGTGTGTCTGCATCTTTTGGCCGAGTAAGTCAAGTCTTCTGTTTTCTTCAGATTCACTTGCTCTGTTTTTAGAGGTGGACACACACGAAAATACTTTGTAGTTTAGGTTGAAAATAAATTTAACGTTTATGCATTTAACAATTCCACGGTAAAGCTTCCATGGCATGTGGGACATGTTAGTACTCTACCAGGATCGTAGAGTTCCTGCAGGTTTTCCAGCTCAAAGAGAATAGGGCGTTCGCAAAGGCTGCAGTATCGACGTTCCAAGCTGGGACAGATCTGTAAAGATATTTATAATGTAGCTTTTTCAATCATAATAATCAACTTTACCCATTAACTCTATAAAAATTCTTTTGGTTAAAAGTATTTCTATTTGAGGACCTTCTATAACAATGCTTTTCAGGTGTTGATGTGTTTTTCACTACATGTTTTAAACAAAATTTTAAAAAACGTTGGTTGTTTTATAAAGCTGCACAGGATGTTTTTCACAAAATATTAAAAAACTTTTATTTATAAAAAAATATTTCCTTTTAACTAAAACGAATAATAATGATGATGTGGAATATTAAAGTTTGTCTTATTAGCGACTGTACAAGACATTGAAAAAATATAAGAATATAAAGTGGACCATCTTTTTCTGAAGAATTCGCGGTTTTCGGTCCATGGAGGTATACCTATATGTGACGTATTTGCTGCCTTACAAAGATTAAAAAAAACTCAAACTCGCGCATTGATAACAAAATTATATATAAAAGGCGATTTCTTAAGAAAAGGACTACTTTTTTTTTATAAAAGGATATGTCATTAACATTTGTTGGAAAAAAATGGCACCTAAGTTTACAAATTAGTTTCTTACAAAAATGGAAAATTAAAAAAATGTATTTGGATCTTTAATCAAACAATGAGACACTGTAATTCCAGCTAAAAAATCATAAAAGTAATGGAACAACAAAAGTGTCTTTGCTCTTACTGAAACTGCACATGATAATTTTATCCGTGCTAGCATTTTTTGGAATCTTTGACAATAATAGTTCCTTACCTCCACAAAGGACACACTGCAGCGTAAAAGTGGCGCCTCCAACGGTTCAGCTATCACAGAATTACCCAGTTTATTATGCAAAACATGCAAATGCTTAGCCATTTGCTCAAGAAAAGCCATTGTGGTTGATGCCAGAGGATGCTCATCGGTGAAGTCAGTCTTAAGTTTATTCATCAGTCGTTGTGTCTGCTCAAACATGCACTTTATGGTCTGCTCCTGGAAAGCTGTTTTCTGACTCTGTGAACCCATAAACTGAAGTCTCAGTCTTATGTGTGTGATGGAAAGCATGGCCAGCAGTAGCTGCATTTCATCCTGGGATTGTTTTACATGAACTGTCAGCTGAAGGAGACTCGATTGCAGGCGGAGAACGGATTGCAGGACATGGAATTTGATTTGCAGCTGCTGTAGTTGCGTTTCAGTGGCAATCTCTGAAAAATCAAAGCTTTCCAGAGGACAAAAGTCTATGTATCTCTGCAAATTTTCCTCGACAAAGACATCAAGGCGAAGGTCAGCTAAGAAATCGGTGTAGTAATTGATGGGCTTGTTCAAATCCAAATGGCTGCTAAGCTGAGCTAGTGCATCTTGATGCCCCACCCTGACCACTTGTATGTCCAATTGCTTCCTTTGCTCTACAGTTTGAGTTAAATATTCCTTGTTGCGGTAGATGAACATGGTCATTAGGTTCTTGTGCCTGCTGGCGCAGAGTCCTATCACTGGGAAATCCTTTAGCACATCCATGGCTATTGATTGCATCTGCAGGCTGAGCTGGTTGTTTTGGTGTATAATATGAATTCGTAGCAATTGACTGTCTGCAGTTCCCACTACATAGGTAGTATTATCCAGGCTGCACAAACCTGTGATCTTTATTCCTCCAACATAGAGTCTTGTCTCCAGGAACTCTTGCTCCTCCGATCTTGGCATGCTCCAGGTCAGCAAATGCGAAGCCTTGCAGCAGGTTATATAGTAGCAATCCTTCAAGGGACATCGAGTAATCACAGCCATTTGCAGACCCATGCGATCCGTTTTCTCCCATAAAACCTTCTTTAAGACTAGATTTGGGGCACTTAGAGCATCAAATTGGTACAGATGAATGAGTCCATTAATATCTCCTACTAGTAAAAGCTGCTGAAAAGCATCAATATAGCAAATGCGACCAAGTGATGTGCATATTTCTTGATGACTCATGATGGTTTTTGCATCTATACTTAATTTGAGTAACCACAAACTTCCAGAGGCTGTTCCCAGTATCAAAATATGATTATCCGATTCATCTGTTAGCCAAGCAAACGTTGTGATCCAGGCGCAATCAATGAAAGCCTGATACTTCTTGAAACTCGTTATCTTGGAGATTTCTTTTTCGGGTAGCAGAGTGTCTCTTAAGATGGCAGCCACATTGAGATCCTCCAGTCGATTCCAGCGGCTATACTCCGCTGGTTTGCTCATTAGGGTAAGGAAACCATAGGAGTTGAGGGATGCCAAAAGAAAATTTCCATTTGGTAGCAACTTGTGTGCCCTTTTGACAGCTACTAATCTCGTTGCTGGCACAGAAACAGAGCAAACAGCCGTGTAAGCTGGATCGAGGGCCAGATGTTGTGCCTCCAGGACATCACAGCTATCGTATATGGCCTCCAGATTCACTTTGCTGGCCAAAGCGTCCAAGGGTCGCGGTTCCGAGGCATTGCACTCCAAATGGGCCACCAAATATGGGAACGGATCCAGGACCATGAATTTGTTGCTCAACTCCAAGGTGACCACTTCGGATTTGGAACCACTTAGAGCTATAAATTCTCCCTCCGAGTAACTGGCCACAAAATCAGGAATCGAATCCTGACGTACGTATCCTTTGGCCAGGATGGCATACTCCAGATTAGCTAGGGGATAATTAAATGGGAATATTAATAAATCATTGATTATATGTAAAAATGGTTACTTATAGATAAGATCATAATGAGATACGTATATGCTTTGAGCAGGAGAGGATATTTTAAATAATTTAGATAATTTTAGAAATATCCAATTTTTTTTATAATACAATCAAATTGTGGATTACAGCTTAATCTAATTATGATGTTTTGATAAAAATGATTGTCTCACCAAGATAGGAATTAAATGTTTATTAAATGGTTTTACAAATATTCCGATGTCAAGTCATAGGAAACAAATATTTAAGAAACTAAATTTATTACCTTATTATATATTCCATTAGCAGAACTAAATTATTTAAAATATATTATATATAAAAATTTAATTATTATTATATAAAAATTAAAAATTACACGCCTCTTAAATAAAAAACATATTTTAAAGCTAAAACTGTAATTCATTGATTAAAAGATATGGATGTAATCAATATTTACAAGCACTACGAATTTGGCGAGCACAACAAAAACGCGAAAAAGGCAAATCAGCACTTACAACTATCACTATCTTAGCTACAAATCGGTGTGTCTATATAGCACCAATACACTTACATTTCCCGACATCTTGGCCGCCGTCCGAAACTTCTCCCTCAGTAACTTTTGTCATTTTGCTGTGCTCAGTTCGGAAATACAAAATCCACCGCAATGGCGACCAAAAAACTGGGAATGGACTTCGTAAAAAATATGTCGGAATACGCCAGTGGATCCAACGGGTTTGATCGGGTCTTGAGAATGGTAAGATTTATAAATAACAATGCAAAAAATTAAACAGACGCCGCCGAACGCCCTCAATAAACAGCTGACTGACAGTGATGGTATTATGTAACCGGAATCGTCTATCGATAACAGCGGCAGCTTTGAAATTCTCATCTCTCTCGTGAGATTTAATTAAGATCTTTAAAATTAAATGCAATAAAGGAATACAATAGAATTTTATAATACCAAATTTATTCATTGGAACTTTAAAATAAATTTATTGAAAAAAAAGCTTTGAAACTTTTAAAATTTTATTTTATTTTTTTAAAAGATTTCGTTAAAACCTTTAAATTGAAAATAAATGCTTTGAAATAATTTATATTTTATTGTTCAATATAAAAACGAAGAAGAAAGAAAATCAAAAAACTAAAGAAGCTTAAAACGAAACCTTACGAATATATATTTTTAATTTCTGTTTAACCCTTAATAACTAATTATTAACTCTGCAGATTAAAATAACCGGCGGTGGTGATGGACGCGCCGTGGGAGAGTTCACTGTGCAAGAGGAGCATTTGAACCGGCAGGGAACTCTTCACGGAGGTCTGACTGCCACAATTGTGGATAATTGCACAACATACGCGCTAATGTCGAAAGGATCTCATCCCGGCGTGACGGCAAATTTAAATGTTAGCTATATTGCCGCTGCTTATCCTGGTGAAGTTATTGAAGTGGATTGTAACACTGTACGGGCCGGTAAGAAGATGGCCTATTTGGATTGCCTTCTGAGGCGCAAATCGGATGGCAAGATCATTGCCAAGGGAGGACAAGTCAAGTATATTCAATTCGACAAGGAAAAGCTGGATTTTTAAATAAAATGTGGGGATCATTTGTGGAAAATTTAAAATCGGTTTTTAAATAAAATTAATTATGCCCACCTTTCGATAAAAACGGAATTTTAGTTTGTTATATATTGTAAATTGGATTTCTGAAGGTGATTCAGAGCGTAGTTTAGTAGGCTCTGATATCTGTAATAATTGTTTACTTTTCGTTTGCTAATCGTAAGTTGCTTACATACTTTGAAAAGCACAGTGCTGCACTCAAAGATAAATAAATCAAATAAAACACTTAAATAAAGCAATCTATTGGTTTATGTACAACTGCCATTGATCAGAAATATTTTTATACACTACTCTTTAAGAATAGTACAATAATATTTACTTAATGCTTACTAAATGCTTAAAAAGAAGCCGGTCTGCTAAAGTAATGTGGACTCAGAAATCTTAAAGTTAAAATAATATTAGCTAAAATTTAAGATTAACTAAGATTCAAAATACATTTTACAAGGATTTTGAAAAAGGATAACTCGACCGTAGTGTAAGCTGGGCATTTTTACAATTTTGAATTTCGATATGTCGATTGCCAGCTTGCCTAATCGATAAAACAGCGCCTTGAGTCACGGCCTATCGATATAACAGATGTTTTTTGTTTTGAAATTTGTTTGGTTTATTCCTAGAAGGTATTACGTTCATCTGAGCTATTTAAATTTGATTTCCGAAACTATTTCGCCTCTAATTTGTAAGGCTGACTTTTTTATAACATCACGTAATTGTTAACATTTTTTTTGATTAACGTCAGTTGTTTACTTTCATAAAATGCGGAAAACTGCACTTGAAGATAAAGAAATCAAATAGTGAAATGAAATCAAAGCAATCCATTTGTTAATGAACGACTTCGATTTATTCGCTAAAAAACTGTTTGCCAGGCCACTTAAAGATTAGTTGCTAAATCAGTTGACCAATTGTAAAATTCAAAAACTACAATAAAGTTTATATACTTAAAGATATTAATATATCAGGAATCTAATAGTGACATCAAATATAAAGTGGATTGAAAAATGTCTATCAAAACATCACTATCTAGGACTTGACCTCTAAGTGTCTGATACGACTATCTTTCTATCTATACAACTATGTATCTATCTACGAACTCGTATCTAGTATTTTTCGATTCGTCACGATCAAACCGAAAAGTTTTTATTGCAGCTGACTAGAAGCTAAAGGATAGTCGTTGGAACAACAACCATCCGCATAAAATGGGAACCCGTAAAAAAGGATTGGAATTCGCTAAACACATCACGGAGATCATCACCAAATCCACGGGCTTTGAAAGTCACCTACAGAAGGTTAGAACACTGTATACCTTAACTACTTTTGTTACCATCTTATCATTTATTTAATCTTAGATTAAGATTTTGGATGGCGGCGATGGAGCCTGTACTGCCGAACTGAAAGTGGACCTGGATCATGTGAACTTGTATAAGTTTATGCATGGTGGCTATATCATGACCCTGGTGGACATGGTAACCACCTATGCCCTGATGTCCAAACCCTGTCATCCCGGAGTTTCGGTGGATCTCAGTGTAAATTTCTTGAATGGTGCCAAACTGGGTGACGATGTGGTGATTCAGGCCAATCTTTCGAAGGTGGGAAAGTATTTGGCCTTCATCGACTGTACGCTGAAGCACAAAAAAGATGACACTGTCATAGCCAAGGGAACCCATCTGAAATACATCAAATTTGACTAAGTCAAGGAGGTTCCTTAGATGATAATATTAAATTGTTGGACACTTAGGAAGCTACTTTAATAAAGTGTTATTTTTCTTTAAAAATGTATGGCTATATTTTTAAATAGCAATGGATTTGTTTATTTATCATAATATAGATATATTGATAAGGTGGTCTAGATGGAGTACATTTACTGAAACGAACTTCGTTAATTCGTCCCTTAGAAACAGATTTTAGATTTTAATAAATACTTTCTATATTGAAAACCAATATATATTTGGGCATTGATACATTTATAATTATTTTAAAATTGTTAGTCGATTACATTCCTTTAATAGCTCCTATAAATTTTAATTTTAATATATTGCAATTTCTAGTGGGTTTTTATAAATACTTAAAATATTATAAAAGAAATAATAATTTGGGAATACAAATTTAAAATATGCCTATTTGAAATGCCTTATAAAACGACATTTTTAATTTATAAGCAATGGAAAGGAAAATTTTTCCCGCAGAGTTTTCCAAATTATAGTAAAAGTCAATACTCAAAACCTTTGATATTTTTATGGGATATTAATGTGCTTTATTTTATTACATGTGTAGCAGTACATTGTTAGTTAATTGTCAATTAAACATGCTCATTGCGCAATTGCCGGTGTGTTTTTTTTCATTTATTTTCTTTTCCTTGGTTTTGATTAGAGTGAGTGAGTGGCTACTACGGATAAACGTGTTACATCGATATGCGTAATTCTTTGGGCTGGGTGGCTCACTTGAGCAGCGGGCAGTGGGGACAGCAGGCCTCCGGAGGCGTCAGTGGGTCCACTCCCGGCGGACAACTGACCTCGCCACATCGTTCCCTCAAACAGTTGACCTGGCCGTGGAAACAGTTGCACTTGGTGCAGACATCGGGGGACCAGACCTCGTTGTTCAGCCGGGTGGTGCCCTTGTCGTCGACGCAGTGGCTCCTCTTGGGCTTTTGGGCCACCACCTGAGCTGGGGCCAGTTGAACCACCTGGGCCACTGTCTCCGAATCGGCGGCATTGCAGGAATCCTCCAGTTTACGCAGTTTCTTGTGCAGTTTCTTTAGATCCTTTTGGAAGCTACCTATTAGCTCCTCCAGACCACTAACCCTTTCCTCATTCACATCGTAGAGGGATTCCAGGGGACTATCATAGCTTTCGGCGGTGGCTACCTCCTCATCTTCCTGGTGAACATCCCTCTTGTTTCTGCTCCCTCGCTTCGTATAAGTTTGTGGTATATATGAGTCAAAAATAGCTGGTGGACTATTACATCTGCCGCATTCCTGCCACAAGTAGAGATTGATGCCAGCTATATCCTCGCATTTCCTATAGCCACCCTGATGTTTGGCCAAAATGAATACGTTTTCGGTGACCTCGTCGAAATTATCACCCACATCGCACAACACTCGACCAAAGTTGGCCTGTTTGATTTGCGTTAGTTGTTCGGGTGAGAAGACACCTGGATTTTCGTAATACAAACGATCACCGTCTCGCAGGCGCTTAAATTGTTCAACCAAGAGGCACTGGAACAGGGGACCCACTTTGCCGCCCTCCACTTGGTCTTCCAAAATGCCACCCAACCAGACATCTACATTATCTGGATGTCCATAGAGATCTTTCATTTTCTGGCGAATACCGGGATTACTTATTTCACCAGCTAGATCTTCAAACTCCTGGGCCACTGTAAGATTGCACAGCTTTCTGTAGACATTATAGCCAGGCATTCCATGATCTCTACCCCGCTGGATATTTATGGCAGCCAAATCCAAGGCCACAGCATGTGCAGTAAGGAATAGTTTCTCTGTGAGTTCTGTATTAAGATTTTGATCGGGTTTTTTGAGTTTAGCGGGCACGGCCAGAAAGCCCCTCATTAGGGGATCCACTCCGCCCTCGTAGGCCAAACGCCAGGGGGCAAAAAAGGCCTTGTGGAGGAGCAGATGACCCTGCGGTATCGGCTGAAAACTCTCATTCAAACGATGCAATATGGGATTGATAATGGTGTGGCCAAAACGCAAAGCAGCCGTGGCAAATTCATTGGCTATGCTGGGATTCAATTGGGGATCATAGCCTTGATAGTCGCCCATCATCTTCATGCCACTCTCGCCAATTATCAGGGGCAACCATTGCTTAAAGGTGATGTGCTGCATCTGGGCACCCACTATTTTGCGAGATTCCTGGTACAAAGTGTCACCATCCCAGTGGCTATTGATTTCCTTCAGTTTTCTGGCTATCCTATTGTGTTCCCTCATCCAAATGGTGTGCATGGCTAGCAGACCAACTTGTTCGTTTACACGAATATCCCCAGAGACAAAGCAACTCATGGTGTTCTCGTCCAGATTTCGCCGACAATCCATGCCATCTTGAGGAGCAGCAAAGGGCAGCATGTCCTTTTGCCTGGGAAAGTGCACACCCACCCGAAGTAAACCCTCTTCGGCACTCAGGTTCCTCAATTCCTGGGCAAAGGGAGTACTATAACCATAGATCTGCGAAGCATCTATATAGGAAGTCAGCTGATTGATCTGCTCGCGATGTTGCACACTATCGAAGAAAAGCGATGTCATGCCAGAGCCACAAATCGAACTGGAACGCACCAAGTCAATGCATCGACGATTGCGAACACGAGGATCATTGGGTGGCACTTCAATGGGATAGCAGGGTGGAGCCATTTCGCAGCTCTTCTTGCAGTCGATGCCATCCCAACTCTCCGAACTCACCGAGGGAATGGCATGGTCCAGATCGTGATCCAGAAACTGACCCCATTGCATCACCATGTGGGTTATCCTCGCATCCGGGGTAATCTCTTTAGTGGCCACTAGGGAAGTGGATACCAATCGGGCACTGGGTTTGGTATGACCGGAATACAACATGCCCTTGGTCCAACCTACTGGCATACTGAAACCATTCTCATAAATGGGTGGCGATAGCCGGCGAAAAGCAGTGAGTGAAGCTCCCCACGTGGGATGTTGTAAGTTATTGCAGGTGCCATCAATACTCCGGTATCTCGAATGGAAACACATATCCGTACAGTTGGGCAGCTCACGGTGCTCCATGCAGCCGGACAACTCCGCCACCAGATGCAGATGCTCCCTGGACAGCAGATCCCTGAACTCGTACTCCTCGCTCTTCATGGTCAGATTGTCGCCCTGCTGAACATGTTTCCGGATATTCACCAGTGTCCTCTCGTAAATCTCCGCCGCACGGGCCAATTGACGAGCTTCGCCGGTGGGAAAACGGAAAACGCGCAGTAGTTCACCATAATTTGGAGGCGCCTTGTCCGATCGATTGGAGAAGAGCATGTCCAGGGTGTTGTTGATGGCCACGTCAATCTCCTTGGCCGCCTCTGCAAAGGCAATGCGCACATAGCGATCTCCGGGAGCCAAATCAACATTGTTCCTAAAGAGAAAATATAAATTAGTTTTTGGTGACTCTTCTTGTATTGATAATGCTTTAAGAAACTAGAGTTAATAGTTAATTTTACTGTTGCCAAACTGTAATCTTAAAATTTTAATTATGTAGTTTACTTCCAAAACTTCTACCTATTTATCTTTTTTTTAATTTCTGTACTTACTATTCCCCGATTTTTGGTCATTTCAATAATGTTAACTCTTTTTGAAATGTTATTTAGCTTTTGGTAACCCCGAAATTAAATATAAAGGTGGCCCGAACCTTTGCGAAACGGTTTATAGCTTTTGGTGACCCCAAACCACTTCGATTTGGAATATAGCTTTTGGTGAAAGTGATTTATGATTTTGTATTGGGCCTACAAAGTAATATTTTTAACTTACAACCTATAACCGAGTTGTTGCACGTTAATGTTGAAATGTAATACAGCTTTTGGTGAAGAAGAAAATAAATCTATTTTTTGGTGACCCCAAAGCATTTCGTATTGAGATATAGCTTTTGGTGAAACCGAACCATACCATAATAAATTTATTATCTTTTGTGGATACCTTACAATAATGTACTTTTGAGCCTATAAAGTTATCTATTGAAACGGGTTTGAAAAGTTGTGAAACTCCAAAAGTTAGCGGCTTTATTCTTTTATTAAATGCCCAGAGCCAAAAGTTGACACCCTCCATAAAGAAGACAAAGCGCTGAAACAATCAAGAAATCTTAGGGAATTTGCACATTTTAATTACCATAATGCCAGTGCCACAAGTCGCCCAAATGGCCGCGTTGTCTAATAAAAATGCCAGCCAGTCTATTTCCCCTTTTTCTTCCCATTTTCTTGCCTAGGAAAATATGCTGAATTCTTTGTATTATTTCGCAGAAAAATAAAATAAATCCGCGCTTTGCTTTTTGCTTTTCAACTCTGAATAAATGGCTAAGTTTGTACACTGATAAACAATGGAATAGTAGAAATTATTATCTGCCTATTGAAATTTAAACTGTAGATTTTTTATATTTAAATTAATATATCTTATGTTTTAAGTGCATTATATTTAAATCTAGCTTACGTTTTAATTTAATTTAGATATTTAAATTATTTCCAAAAAACAGAACATTTATTTATATATTTAAAATAACTAAAAACCGCAAAAGATGAAATCAAAGCTTAAAATATTAAAATTGAGCATTAATTAATCAAGCTTACTACTTTTTTTTTAGCAGTGTAAGTTGGGTGGGGGCTGCTGGCAGCATTAACAACAATTCATGCCCGGCATTCTGGTGCCAAGGAATGCTCCTCTAGGAAACTTTCGCCTGTGTAAACTTTGGCATTGTGCGGCGGAGGCGACGTTGTAGGTAATAACTTAACGACCATAATACACCCTGTTGCGCCAGAAGTCTGGCCCTATCCACTATCAGTTGCCATTGGTAATGGTAGTGGTAGTGGTAGTGGTAGTGGTTTTGGTCCTTCAGGCAGTGGATATTTCGAAGGACTACAAGGACTAAATATTTCCACGCTGCCATTCTGTGGCTGCCCTTTTGCCTTGTTCTTTTTTATTTTTTGGGCCACTTGGCGGTTCGTCTGTTGTTTTACAGTTGACAATAGCCCACGGTATTCGGGACATTGATCATTTTGGGAAACTTTAGGAATCACTCTTACAATTATTTTAGCGAACAATGAATTCTTTTTATGGGGGTGTCACAGAAAGTAATAGAGAAAGTGTTAACTTAAGAGATAGCCTAGGCACAAAACATCATAAATATTTTTTGAAACCTTTAAAGTGATTTTTAATTTTAATGGATGTTTTTAACAACTCAGCTAAAATCATTGTATCGATTTGAAATTTTTAAAATGTAAGTTGCTACACTTTTAAAATTAAGAATGTCTGCAGGGTCCAAAAATTAAAGAAACCTATTAAAATATACTTTAAGCACTAAATATGATAAACATTTTTTTGTTTTATAAGCCTTTGAAAATTTTTTCTAATAAAATGGGTTTTTTTTAAGATTTTAGGGCCAATAAATTATTACATCATTATTAATTGATTATAATTAAGAATTTGCTGTTAAAAATTGTAGTAGTTATTTATTTTACTTTGATATGCATTATTTAATTTACTTTACTTTTACTTTAATTATATCGATTTGGTTTATTTCTGTTGCAATTTGTTTGCAATGAAATTTGTAAAGTTCCAAATAGCAGGGTTCTTTAAATCTGTGACAGAGTTGTCTTTACTTTGTTTAAACATAAAATAAAAAAATTGGTTTAAAAATAAATCCGCTTTTTGTTGAGGGTATTTCAGTTTTCACCACTTGCACTTGCCTAATTTGGTGTAAAGTTTTTTTGTTGGTCCTGGCTTCCGTGCCACTCTCTTTTTGCCATTGCCACATGCTGTGGCGTACGGCAATGTATTTCCGTGGTTGCCCTTTTTGCCAGCAGCACAGGATCACAGGAGGAAAAGAAAAAGGAGCAGGAGCAGGAGCAGTTGCTCCAGAAAGGAGCAGCCAAAGCCAGCGGTGGCAACAAAAACAATGGCAGTAACAGGATAAGCTTTTGTTTTACCCCCAGCATTACCCACAACTTAGGCGGATTTCTGTGTGCAGCAGCAACCTATGGTTGTTGTGTTTTTTGGTTTCTATACCCTTTGCCAGAGGGTATTATAATTTAAGTCCAAAAATTGCAATGAAGTAAATATATATATATTTTCTTGACTCTAGAAAGTGTACATATTCTTGATCAGTCAATGTCGGTGTCAATGAAACTATTTAATGAAACTTTCCAAAAAGCCTTATTTTGTATTGCATATATCATATAAGTCTATACGGGTCGTATTGGGGCAATCAACAATAAACATGTACGCATAAAAATCTAAATAAAGACGTTTCACATAAATTTTTTAATTTATTTAATATCTGCAAAGGTGTATAAACTTGTTTCCTTTTTTATTTGTATATGTAATACTCATAAAATACTTACATATATAAAAATATATATAACATCAAATACAAAATCACAAATTATTTAGCTACTCATTGCATTTTTTGTTGACAAAATTGGATAAAACAATCTGTTAATAAACGTATACGAAAAACAGTCTTTTTAAAGAAAATTTTATTTTTCTAATAGCAGCAAGGGTATTCAAACTTCGGCTTGCCGACGCTAGCATTGTTTCTTGTTGATATTTTTCTTGCAGTGGTTTCGTCGAGGTTTTCGCTCACTTTTTATGCAGGGGAGGGGAGGGGGGATCCCTTCCCGGATCCGTCTTCCAACATAGTTTTTCACTTTTGACGCTGCTTTCTCGCACCCTTTTTCCGGATTTTTCCTTTATAATTTTCTACACCCTGATGATGCTTTGCTGCGGTCTGGCGACTGGGTTTTCCCGGCGTAATGAGTAAAGTTTCTAATGCTGCCGGCGCAGAACTGTAAGCCGATTCAGCTTCCGTTTCTGGCACTTAATGCTGCGACCACCCCTGAAACCACCACACATGGATATCCCTGAGATTTCCACCATTATCCACCCGCTTTTCCACGACTTTCCCCCGACTTTCCTTTTCCTGCTGCTGCTACTGCTGCTGCATTATGCATCGGAAAATGGCTGTGTAAGCAGAAAGTAAGCCGCCACGACGGTTCTTTTGTGGGCCAGTTTGGTGGTTAATGGCCAAGTCCGTATTCCCGGATCCACTCTCTTTGCCACCTCAATTTGATTTACAGCCTTTGGCAGCATGGATGTGGATGTGGATTGGAGACCATTTGCTCAATAAATTCACATCATGTCGTTTTTTTCGGAACAAACAATTTGAAAACTTCTAAGACCGCAAAAGAAGAGCAAAACTTGTGGTACACGATGGGTACAAGTTCTAGTTTAAATGCACCTCAAGAAATATATATATCTAAGCCTAGAAAGGAATTTACTAAAAATGTTGTAAAAGCTTAAAACTAGAAGCTTTCTGCCAAACTAACAAACCCAACTTTAAACAACAAAACATTAAACTGAAAACCATTTCTTTTTACAAACTCAGACACCTCAAAAGTAAATGTATATTCAAGCCCTGAATTAAAAGGAAAATTACTAAAAACTTGTTAACCTTTTCAGTTATAGATTTTCAGCACAAATAAAAAGTTATAAACACACTAAATTATGGTAAGAATTTACTAAAGACAAACTATTTACTAACAGTTCACATAAGTGAAAAATAATGAAAATATATTTCGAAATGTATTTATCTTTGCTCAAATAAAATTGTATATTTACTAAATATATTTTCAATTAAACTATAATTGGCTTTAAAATAAGAAAACATTTTCAGAAAAGAGGGTACATTTTAAATTTCTATAACGTAAAAAGAAAATATTCTGACACCTAAAACTCAATGGAGTAATTTGCTCTAAACTAACTTAGGGTCAATAAAATATTGATAAAATAATCAAAAAGTTTGTACAAAGAGACACAGTAAGAAATCTATGTAAAAAGGTTTTTTGTCAATGATATTCTACAGCAATTACACATTTATTGTTTTCTTTTATCTAAAAATACAATTAAATAATATTTTAAGAATATAGATATGAAGATAGAAAGTTATATCTGTTTTGAATTTTTTCACTTAGAGTTTTCTTCTTATGTGTTCTTAGTTTGGAAGAAATTTAGTTTTTTTATTTAAAGCTACAATTTAAATATTTTAAGAAATTGCATATAAGTGTATTTGAGTATTATAATTTTTTATACCCTTGCAGAGGGTATTATAATTTCAGTCAGAAGTTTGCAACGCAGTGAAGGAGACATCTCCGACCCTATAAAGTATATACATATATTCTTGATCAGCATCACTAGTAGAGTCGATCTAGCCATGCCCGTCTGTCCGTCCGTCTGTCCGTCTGTCCGTCTGTCCGTCCGTCTGTCCGTCTGTCCGTCTGTCCGTCCGTTTATATGCAAACTAGTCTCTCAGTTTTAAAGCTATCTGCATGAAACTTTCCCAAAAGTTGTCTTCCTATTGCAGGTAGTATATAAGTCGGAACGAGCCGGATCGGACGACTATAGCATATAGCTCCCATAGGAACAATCGGAAAAATAAATGAAAAAAAATTATAACTTTGCTGTTTTTAAATTTTTTTTTAGTTCTTCGACATATGGCAATGGTTAAATATTTCAGAATTCTGGTTTAAATTTCATCAAAATCGGACGACTATAGCATATAGCTCCCATAGGAACAATCGGAAAAATAATTGAAAAAAAATTATAACTTTGCTGTTTTTTAATTTTTTGTTTTGTTCTTCGACATAAAGCAATGGTTAAATATTTCAGAATTATGGTAAAAATTTCATCAAAATCGGACGACAATAGCATATAGCTCCCATAGGAACAATCGGAAAAATAAATGAAAAAAAATTATAACTTTTCTGTTTTTTAATTTTTTGTTTAGTTCTTCGACATTTAGTAATGGTTAAATATTTCAGAATTCTGGTTTAAATTTCATCAAAATCGGACGACTATAGCATATAGCTCCCATAGGAACAATAAAAATATATAAAATAACTATCAAATAATTGAGCTGCAAATCATCACAGCTTCAATGTTTTTAAACGTATACGCAAGTAAATTATAATTTTAATGTTTTCAAAAATGTTTAATTCTTGCAATAGCTGCAAGGGTATATGAACTTCGGCTTGCCGAAGTTTGCTTTCTTTCTTGTTTTAATTTAATTTCCCTAATCTTGGTTGTTCTATAGCTTTTAATTTATAAAAATAAACTTGAAAATATTGTATTTTCTTTAGAGTGCAACATTTCTATTTCTTGTTGCAGCCAGCAACTTGTCAACTCAATTTCAATTTGGGCAATTTGGATAACTTGTGCGGTTGAATCAGTAAGGAATTTTCCCAGCCTTGTGTCTTTTTCCATTTTCCCCCAAAAACGAAATGCATGTATGTGTGCGTGTGAGTGTGGCACGTAGCTTTTCCGGGCTTAGCACGTTTTTCAGTTTGGCAACTGGCAACAGAAAGCTGGAAACTGGTAACTGAAAACTGAAACTGGCAACTGGCGATGGCGGCGACAACTTTTGTGCTTTCTCGCCGCCTTTTGATGTTCTTGGTGCATATTTTATTTGCAGTTTAGCCGACAACACAGTGGAGTCCCAGTGCCTTGGCAACTAGCGAGGATTAGCAAGTTTGTGCAGCTGTTAACTGCTTTTGATAACAGCCAGTCGGGAGCTTGATGTTTGTCCCCCATTTTCCCTGGACTTTCCCCTGGATTTTTCCCTGGGTTTTCCCTTGATTTTCCCTGGTTTCCTGGCCACTGTGCAGCCAGTTTTAGCCAGAAGCTTTATTTTATGGTTTTATGTTCTTTTCGTAGTTTTGCGGGAGTGGTTTCCAAGCAATTTAGCCCAGTGCAGCTCCCCGAAGGATTAGGGAATCATTTGAGGCGTGCAGGCGTCTAATCGGTCAGCAACAATTGTGAAACATATTGGTTAGTTTATACCATTTTTCGTAGATTTTCCAAAGCTAGGGATTTTTACAGGTTGAAATTAATAAAAGCTTTAAACGGAAAGAGAAGTGTGCCCAAAATCTCTATTAAAATAAATGTATTGGTGATTACAAAAAAAAATTTAATTCATATTTCAAAATACTTGCATTTAATAAATTTTTAAAAATTGCATTAAAAGATATCATCGTAATTACCATTCAAAATAAATGATTTAGATTTGATTCAGATTACCTTAAAGAACGATAAAAAACAGCTTACAAAATCGAAAACATTTCAGAACTAAACTTAAAACATTAAACATATTATATTTAATCTATAAATTATAAAGCTTTAACAACGTAAATTGATAAATGACACCCACAATGGAATTTTATATCCAAAATTAATTTTAAATATATCCCAAGCAGTTCCCAGCATAATCCTCTGCATCGTTTAGTTAATGTTGAGTTTTTCTGTGCCTCAACTATTTTTTAATTAATTAAGCAAGTTTGCCGCGCACTTAAACGCATTTTAAGTGCGTCCTCTGCTGGCAGAGGCCTTTTTCTTGCCAGTTTTTCCCAGTTCTTAGCCAGCCTTTGAGCAAAAGTTTCCCCTTTTGATTTTAATGGAGTTTTATACAATCCGCCCTTCACGCCGCCGACAGCGCAATTAAAGTTGCGGTCGATTGTTGGCTGGATGGGTGCTCAAAGTTGAGCTATTTGATTTTCATTCGGAATCCTCCGTTTTTCACTCACCTGATGGTAACCAGTGCGGAGGCGGTGGCCCTGCCAAACTGGTTCTTCACCTGGCACTCGTACCGCCCTCCATCCGGAACAGTCACATTCTTCACGAAGAGACTGCCGGCGCCGCTTATTTGATATTTCTCCGTCAGCTGCACATTCGGATCAATGAGTCGGCCATCGCGGCGCCACGAAATCTGAGGATGTGCACAGAAAGAAATTCTGAGTCATATGGTATTTAATTTTCATTCAAAATAATTTTATTTTTATCATAAAATATTTTAAAATTATATTTCAACAACCAAACTTTTTGAGAATTTGAAAAAAAATTTCTTTTTAACAGAAGTGAGTTGTAAATTATACTTCAAATTAATTTTTAACTATTATTAGTTTTCTTGTTTTTTCTTTACTGTTAAGTCCAATGTAAATACTTTTGTTCCCACAACTCTTTTTTTTAACAAAAACTGTTAGACTGTATTTTAAGGACTGTATTTTATTAGAATTATTTTAAACTAAAATATTATATTTAGGTGTCAAAAAATTCTTTATATTTATTAAAACTTTAAAAAAATTTTATAAGCAAAATATTCAGTGTCCTATTAAATTGCTTTCATGCTTAAAATATTAGTTAGTTAAAAAAATTATATAGAATAAAAATAAAGTGAGAGTTAAACTAATTGATAAAATTTTTCCAGTGGTCGAGCGGAAATGCAGACGAAAAGGAAATGTCAACAAGTGGCGGGTAAATAAAAAAGTTTCCGATTCCCTGGTGATTTTCCGGGGTGTGTGGCTGTGTAAGTACAGTGAGTGGGTTTACCTGAAGTCCGTCCTCGGGTTGATCGGCCTGGCAGGGCAGTTCGATGGTGGTGCCGGTAATGGCCACCAAATTGCTCGGCTCGATGGCGAGATGTGGGGGCGATTGCGACCGCTCCACTTTAATCGTGGCCTCCACGCTCGTCTCCCCGTTCTCATTGCGCGCCGTGCAGCGATAGACACCTGCGGGGTATGGATAATGTCCAAGGTATCGCAATGAATTGCAATGAAATGTAAACCGTAGACCGTTTTTTTGGGCAATCACTTTCCCTACTTACCCGAATGCTCCTGGCGGGCGGCACTCACCACCAACTCCGTGTTCTCGTTCTCCAACAGCAAGTCGGGGGTATTGCCGGCAAGGATCTCACCATTGAATTGCCAGTCGATGGTGGGCAGCGGATTGCCATCGGCATCGCACTCCAACACAAAGGCCTTGCCCAGTTTGATTGTTTGGCTTTGCGGTGCTGTTAAAATTTCGGGCAATTCTGCAAGTAGAAAGTGGCAAGCGGTGCATTTGAGTGATTTTCGAGCAATTTGCCTGCTCCAAATAGCAGCAACAGCAACAAGCCAAACTAAAGCGACTAAAGCCGGCTGTGGTCCGTGTTTTTCGGTTCGGTTTCTATGAATCTTTTGTTGCCGCAGCACCACCAAACACCAAAAATTAAACTCCCCACCGGCCGGCATTTGACCCGCTTTAACCGCTGCGCAGTGGGAATTCAGTTATTCAAATTTGTTTCTAAAATCGCAAAAACTTTTAGAGGTAGTTTAAAAGTAGAGCCAGATTTTCTTTTCATATTTCATATATACTAATAAATGTTTAAAGGTAACGAAACAATAAAATGGATGTGTGAGAGAAGTACCTGGCCAAAAAATTGTAAATTGTTGACTTAAAAGTTCGGCAATTCGATCTCAAATGGCTCACTAGTAAAACAATTGATAAGCTTGCTAACAAGTAATTTTTAAGTAAGCAAAACATTTAAAGTATAACTTAAGAAAACTTAACTCTTATAAAATATTTATTATCATTATTCTTTAAATTACAAAAAAATTTCAACGAGAACATTATTGATTTATTGAAAAATATTAACTTCAAAGATATTTTAAAATTAGAAAAAGTGGTTAACTGAATCAATTTATGCCTGGCTTAAAATAGTTTTAATTTTATTAATATAATTAAGTAATTTTTGAATTGGTAATGAATTAAATTATGATGATATGATATTATTACCTGATCTACACATATTTTCCTATCTACCCCACTGTACCTTTGACCAAGCCCATTGGGCGTATGCGTAATATACAATTTAAAATTAACTCTGCATACTTTTCAGCGTGCCCGCCATACTTATTTATATACGAGTGCTTGTGTTTGTGTTTGCTTCGAGTGTTTGCCCGTGTCTGTTTATGCGTTTGCCGGGTTAATTATGCTGACCAAAGCGTCATGCCCGAGTGCTTAAACAGTTCATCCGCCCCGTGGTACCCGAGATCCCCTAATTCCCATTCTCCATTCTCCATTCCCCATTCCCCATTCGCCATCGGTAAAAGCCACAGCCTCGCAATTTGTGCGTGCCCTCGCCGCACGTAATAGTTTATAATTTTTGCACTTAATTCAGCAAAATAATGCATAAATTTTCGCACTTCATTTTGTGCCGGCACAACCACAAATTATAATGAGCCATTGTGCTGCATCAAGGCGGTGGATGCACATTGCACTTTATGCCGTCTGCGATCTCCATTCTCCCGAGGATATATATTTATATACATACATAAATATATACATTTCACTCCCCGTTGGCCGTTTCTATTGCGCCATAAAGTACAGTCACGTACAAACGCTCGAAATACGGCAATAACGGATGGTAAAACATAAAAAGCTCAAGTGCCAAGCTGTTTCGGGGTTAACCTCCTGCCGGGATGCACTTCTTCGGTTATTTAATGAGTAACTGGCAACTGGCGACTGGCAACTGGCTACGAAGCGTAGGAGAGCTTAATGTGCGCCAATCAAAACCAGAGCAATTTATATACTATTGCATAAAGTCAGTGCACTAAAAAAAATCATTAAGTATGAAGAAACAAAAAAATTGTATTACCTAATATAATATTTTTTTAACGAAGAATGCTGTAAAAGATCATACTACTTTTAGTATTTGTCTTAAAAATAAGAATTTTTATCTTACATTATCCTTAAATTAATGTGAGAGCTTTATGTTTTGTATATTTCTTTACCAATAATAAATGTATTTAATTATTTAAAACAACGTTTTTAAAATTTTTTTTTTACAAAAACGAGTGCTTAATTAATTTTCTAATTTTCTGAGTGCAAAAACAGAAACTTTTGCGATTTGATTTGTCTACACGAAGTTCCATCCAATCACCGCCACCACCTGCTGTCAAAGTTGTCGCAATCTATTTATTTGGGGAGTGGGATTTTTTCCCGCGGGCCAAACTCCTCTGCAAAGTCCCAATGCCCAATATCAGTATGAAATTGAGTTGGCATGGCCAGTGCATCCTGGTCCTGGTCAGTCAGTCTCCATTGCAGCAGTCCCCAGTCCGCAGACTCGGAATCGTTGCCATTTCCCACTCCCAGACGAAAACAAATTAAATCGACTGCAAATTGAGTAGAACGCGACAGTTGCGACTGTCGATGGGAATGTGGGAGTGGTGCCAGGAAAAGGGGATATATTGTGACCGCCACAGAATTTGTCAGTGATGGCTGTTACTCCGGTACTTTTTTAGGCAATCATTTCACAAAAATGGAATGTGAATTTCTTTTGTAAGCAAACAACAAACATAATAATAAAATTAATACGTATGCAAAATTTTAAAAGTACTGATAAATAATATTTAAATACATAACAACAAGCTAGTTCAGATGGTAATCCTAAATGATATACGTTGAAAAAAGCAAAAAGGAATATTATTTACTTTAATAAAATGCACTTAAATCAAATAGAAACTATTTTTAATCTAATATTTTTCACATTAAATAAAAGGTTTTGATATTAAATCATTTAATTTAATATGCGTTTAACTTTATATTATAATTAAATATTTAATTCAAACTTGAAATATAACATTTTTAACTCAATGGTAAGATAATTATTTCTCTTCCTCAGGCTGGTGTAAAATACGATACTAAATTTGAATATTATGGGAGTTAAAAAATATTTGTTCTTAACCTTGTTTTTCTGAATTTTTCACCCTGTACCTAGGCTGGTGTAAAATACTCGAAAAGCAGCATCTCTGGCATTTACTCACCCTTCAGCTCGATGCGGGCGGAGGCCTGAATGCTGCCCAAAGAGTTGCGGGCCTCGCAGCGATACGTGCCGGCCGAGAGTTGGGTGGGCTGCAGCAGGACGAGGCTGCCGTTGGCCTGCAGCTGGAGATTGGGGGTCGACTGCGAGAGTTGGCGTCCGTTGACGAACCATTGTATTGTCGGCTGTGGGAAGCCAGAGGCGGCGCAATCGAGGAGCACGTGTCCGGCGTTGTGGAGGGCCACAATTTGGTCATGTGGCTGGTGGCTGAACTGCGGTGGCGATGGTGTGTTGGTTGTCCTCGGTGATCCTGCATCCGCCCACACCTGATTGCTGCCGCCATCCTGAAGGAAACTGGGCGGTGGTGCTCCACCACCATCGACATTAACTGTGAAACGAACTGGTTGGGAGCGAAGTTCACCCATCTCATTGCGTGCGATGCACTGGTAAATGCCCATGTCCTCCTCCCTGGCACTTTGGATGAGCAGACTGCCGCTGGGCAGGATCTGCACTCGCTCTTTCTCTTTCTCTTTATCGTCACCCACCACCACCTCCTGGGTGTTCCGCATCCACGTGACCTGGGGGCGTGGCAGGCCGGTGACCTCGCAGCTCAGCTCCGCCTGTTCGCCCTCCGCGGATTGACCGTCTTGCGGGGCCACCAGAAACTGCGGCTTGGCTGCAAGTAATACGAGGATTCATCAAAGTGCCCATCAATTCGGTATTAAAATGCATCTGTGGCGCACAGCAGAAATCGTGCTTTCAATCGTCTGGGGCTTTTAAGCAAATTTATATGGCCGCCAAATAAAGAAAAATGTTTTTCAATATGAAGGTGGCTTAAGTAAATGAAAATGAATAGTTTAAATTACCAAACAAGAATTTGATTTGTGCTTAAATCTTAATAAAAACACTATTAGGCCATTTTATTTTATTTAAAATATGTTTCATATTATAAATTAAGTTCATTAAATGACAAAACTTTGATACTTACGAGATGTGTTAAAAATATCTAATAAATTGAGAATGTGTCGCAAATCACGCTATTTTTAATTAGCTTAAGATAAATTAAATAATTGATTGAAATTATAATTTTTAAAACCGTTCCATGTGATTTTAAAAGTTTGAACATTTTAAAATACATTTTTGATTATTAATATTATTTAATTTTTTTAGAGAGCATGGTAATTATACCATGTTTGAATAACATTTTTTAGATACTTCATGTGTTACAATTTAAGGAGAATAAAGTTCTAGAATACTATCGAAATTTTGAGGGAAATACTTTTGGACAAAATATGCAAGTGATTAAAGAAAATTTCGAGATTTCAGTGGGCCATTGAAATATTTTACTGGATTCTTACCGCACTTGAAGTGATGTTCACCCAGGCTGGACAATCCCTGACGTTGAAGCACCTGAGGAGCGGCACAGCTGAGCGAGATGGCCACCAGTTGGCGCTGGACATCCAGGTGCCAGCGGCGCCAGAGCGAATAGACTCCACAATTGCAGTCGATGGCATTGCCGTCGAGTCTTAGGCGCTTCAGACTGTTCAGCCGATTAAAGATGTCCACTGGCAGTTGGCCCAGCTTGTTGTTGTTCAGGATCCTGGTCAGGGTATACTCCAAAAAGTTAGTCATAATCATCACACACAGAACAATAACTTATGTCAAATCAACATTGAAAAATTGTTTACTTTACTATTATGTTTTACGAAGTTTTTAAGTATTATATATTTTTTTTATTTGCATAGGTAAAAAAAACATTTAGCAAACATACTTGCGCACAATTTAAATTGTAAAAAATTATAAAATAAAATAGTTTTATTCATAGATTTTTTTGTGGCATTGAAATTAAAATAGTAATTTGATAATTTTGATAATAATCAATTCAAATCGTAACTATTCTAATTACCTATTTAAAATTTTTATTTTGTTTTTTAAAAGATAATTGTGTATTTATTTTTACAGACAATCGGCAAATCATTAACATTTTAAGGACCGTAATCAGTGGGTCGCATATTCGAGTTATATTCAATTTTCCACTCAAGCAATTAGTCTTTGGTATCACAATAGTTTCCCTATTTGTTTATAGATAGATTTAACAATTAAATTGTCGATGTAACATATGTTTTTTTTTTCTGTGTGCATTACAGCCCAAAGAAGGGTAAAGGAAAGGGAAATCATCATCGACTTACAGGCGATTCAGACGCGGCAAGTTGTCAAAGAGGCCTGCAGGCAACTGCCAAATGTCATTGTTCTCCAGGAAACTGAAAGCGGTAAAGTAAAGGCGATTGCAGATTGTTGATGCTAAGGGGAGATCCTTAATTAAGACGACTGCTTGGCTCACTTACATTGCCTCCAGGCGTGGCATTCGCTGGAAGATGGCCGCTGGTAAGCGGCTTAGCCGATTATTGTTCAGATAGAGGAACCTCAGCGCCGTCAGTCCATTCAAGGCCCCATCCTGCAGGTAAGCCAGCTCGTTGTCATTCAGGAAGAGCGTCGTCAGCTGGGCGAGACCACTGAACGCGTTGGCCGGCAGCTCCTCGATGTGATTGAAACGCAAATCTCTGCAAAAATGTTGTTGCCCAAGAGCACACACAAGAACACACAAGAACAGTGGATATAGCGTGAGTGAGTCTGAGTCGAATCGAGTCGAGTGGAGTGGACAGAATGCGAGTCCCAGATTGCAGATAGCAAAACGTTTATCTGATGGATGGATGCGAGATGGGCGAAGAGTAAGGGGGAAGATGGTCGGACTACACTGGGGGAAAAATGTATCATCTGAGATTTGAATTAATTAAAGTTGTTAAGGACTTTGAGAAACTATTTTCAGCCGTTAAGTTTTATTTTGTTCGATTGAAGTTAAACCTTATTTTAAAGCAATGTTATTATATTTTCATAAGATTTTTTGGATTAGTTATATTGAAAAAAAAAGAAGAAAATCGTATCAATAATGCCAACGTTGCCAAAGACTCAATTAGCTAATAATAACAAATTTAAAAATTTTAATTCTGTGCCTAGAAAAAGTAAGAGTACCAAGCACAAAACCTTCCTTGTGAAACAAATAATTTTTGTTTTAGTTTTAAAATAAAGTAGTACTCTAATTCATTCTCTAACAGTAATACTGAAATAGTATTTTTGTAATGATAATAATTTTTGTGATGGCAGAAATTCCTCGAAGTGCATAGAAACTCGCAGTTGAGGGTAAATCAATTTTTGGTTCTGGCAAATTGATGCAAGTTGCCAATGCCAATTCTCGTCATGCGGTCTGCACCGTTCCTTCTTCCCTCTCATTCTCACACCAATGTGGGTGTTGGGTGTTGTGGGGCAGGTGATTTCCAAATGGAGATTTAAGTGGTTTTCGTGTGGGTGATTGGGATGTGAATGTTATGCCTCATTGTCATATGCAATTAGTGCGATAGTTTGGCAAAGAAATTCCGCTTGAAGAAATGAAGACCTCCACCCAGCAGTGCCAACCGAAATCCAATTATTTACCCCAGCCAAGCACAAACTTAAGTACTCTATATGGTATAGTTGTATATCGCCTTACCGGAGCCGCTGTTTATCCGCCTCTTAGAGCGCTTGATAAACCGTTCTAACGACATCCGCTTGATATCGCGAGGCTGCAAACAACAACATACCCTCTCGTTTACACAAACATTTTGCACACATTAAAAATTAATTACAAAAACTTGATGCTCGCATAGTTTATGTGCCCGTTTATACCCGGCGACAAAGCAGCCAAGCGATAAGCCGGCGACCCCGGCAACCAACTTGCATACCCCATACCATACCATATAGCATCATATATAGTATAGCAGTGCAGAGTTGGGAGCCTTAGCCACGGATTGAGGTCTCATATATGGCATATGCCAAGCTCACGTTGCTGCCATTAGCAACGGCTCACTCGAAGAAATTACGCTACAATTCAAGTCATAATTAAGGAAACCATAAAAACCAAAAACGGAAAAGGAATTTAACCAAATGCTAATCAATTATTATTCTAAAAATTATAATTCTAAAAATATATGTACTTAGGTTATTTAAATAATTCCCAAACACAAGGTTAGTAAGAAAGTTATTATTTAAATGTTGTGTGTTCATTTCAAAACTATTGATTTCCATGCCTTTTTACCAGGCACCATATTCTGTTTTGGTTTATAAAAGTATCTTTACATCCTTGGAAAAAGTTGTTTAAGCTCTAATAAAATATTTTAAAAGATTATATGCTTATAACAATTTTTTCAATGAAAATAAAATGAATATATTTATCTGGCGCTTGTTATTTTAGTTGTTTATTAATTTATCCGAGTGTAGGAGCTGCTGAGGGTGATGGATATAGGATTGCAGAAGGTTAAGGATGTAGCTGCAACAGCGGTTTAAAAAGTTTCTAATCAACTCATGAACTTTGTTGCCGTTGCTTTTGGCCAGAATTTAGCTGCTTTGCTAGTGCTAGTGTTGCTTGTTGCAAATTCAATGCGGCAGCGAAAAAGTTTCTTGGCCAAAGTGAAAATTATACCGGAAATTCAGCTGGTGCTGGTGCCTGCCTGCTGGCAACATCGTTTACCGCTGGCTGATGTTGCAGCTGCTTTTGGGTCTTTGTTGGCGCAATAATTATGACCCTGTTTTTTTTCTACCGCTTTTTACTACCTTTTTAGCCTCCTTTACTCCTTTTTGGCCAGAAGCCACTGCAATTGGAGCTGGGGCTAAAGTTGTCTAAACAGAAATTATGTTTTGTGGCCACTGTAAACATGCAACGCACAAAGTGCAACCAAACTAACTAACTACCAACAGCAACTAGCGGCAACAACGGCAGCAACAACAACCTGCAACCCTAATTGGTGTCAGCGTTTCACTATGTGTTTTTGGTGTGTGTGTGTGTGTTTTGGCCAAGTGCAATCGTGTCTGTTTTCTGTGTCTGTGTCATGCCTCAAATTGCAACTAAAGACGAGGATGCAACACACAGGAAAAGGGCACAACCTCGCAAACACACAGAGAACAACAAAAAAGGCAACACAAACAACCTACGACAACGAAAACAACTTAAAAATCCAGAACAAGATGAAGTGTTTTTTGTCAAGTCTAGCGACTATGAGATACCCAGTATTTTTTAGAAAAAAATTAATTTTTAAGAATTCTGCGGCTTTAATCACAACCTAAACTTTTATTAGTTTTTATTACACAAAAACCTGACATTTGGGATTGAATTACAAGATAATTCTAAGCTTATACCTCTTTCTTATATTCTCATAAATTTAATATACTCTTTTACCCTATTAGTAAGGGGTGTGAAAATCCAGAAAAACACTAAAACCACTCACACGTAGAGCTTGGGGCCCCAGTCCAACAATAGCAGCAACCACAGCCACAGGATGGTGGTGGATGTCGAGGTGGACGTGGATGAGGATGCGAATGGCTCAGATGGGCGGTTGAGTGGGTCAGGTCAGGCATACGCCCAAATGGAGCCACATAAACAAAGCAGCCACCGCTGCTTCACTTCTCACGCCGGTTTTGGTTTCTTGGCTATGGCAATGGCTATGGCTGTGGCTCTGGCCTGATGAAAGAGCCAAGTCCTGGGGCCAGTCGACCCACTGGTGTCCATGTGGTAACCCCGCTCCCAGAGCAACACTTTAAGAAAAAGTTCGTTTAAGTTTATCCCAAATTTACCTCAGTCAGGAAAACTGTTTTAATGTTCCGTTAAAATTTGTTCTATTTTTATTTTATAATATTTATATATCAACAATAAATGGTAAACATAATTTAATTAATTAATGCTTTAAAGACAAATTTCCTACTTTCTTCAAAAAGCAGCTCGCAGTTATTAAAAAGGTTTCAATTATTTATTTTTTAAACGTTGCTTTTTAAGGAAAGGTTTTAGGAAAAATAACACTTTAAAAAAAAAATAAATTTTTTGAGTATTTGATTTTGATTTATGTTTGCTAAATAAATTAAATATAATATAATCGCCATTCTTCATGAGAAACTTCTTAATCATATATTTTATAAAAATCTTTTTTAGTTTTCAGTCGAATTTTTTAAGTTTAATAAAATACTTGTTTTAATAAATAAAGGATTTATTTGAAAAGCAAATGTATTTTAGTTTTATTTTTAATTTTATTTTTATTTCCCATTTTTAGTGATTTTAAAGATTTGGTAAATATATTTTTGTTTGTGCACCTAGATGGCAACCTCATGCAGTTGCGGTGGCTCCAAGGAAGTGGGGCAGCGGAATGCAGGCTGGGACACGGGTGGCAGCAACAATTTGCAAAGTTGCTCGCATTTCTCCTTTCGCAGAGAAGGAGCTGCGTAGAAAAAGGGGGTGGGGTGGCTCCTGTATGCGAATGCGGCTGCTTGATCCACATTTTTGCCCACTTCTTGCAAACTCCATTAGCCCCGCCACCAACAGTCAACAAGGAATATAGCCACAGCCACTACCACTACCATTAGACAGCCACATCCACATTCACACTCACATTCACAGTGGGTCAAGCAGATGGGGCAGATGGATCAGTCTAATTTGAATCAACAAGGAACTCTCGGCTTCTTTTGGCCCTTTGACTCAGTCACCGCTATCGTAGTATTTGTATTTGCTTAGACAGAGAGTGCTTTAAAATGCCCAGCCACTTGCAGATTCCCTTTCTGCATAACCAACACCTCTTCACATGGCACCACTGTGCATCCACTTTCATGCCCACCACTGTCCCACCCACTGTCACACACACCCACTAACACTCACACACACCCACCACGTGTGACAAACGATGGTCCACTTCAATGTGCACACACGCTGAGTGCGTGTCCGGGTTCCGGACTCAGGACTCCGGACAGCGGACTCCGGAACCCCCAGTCCGATGCCTCATCGAGCCTACCAAACTGAACTACACTGAGCGAAATACAAACTGATAACCAATTATTTTAGATCAAAATTTGAAGGTAAGAAAAGGGAGATTAAAAAACAAGTTAAAGACGACTTTACCAAAAAAGTTGCTGACTCAAAACTAAGACATGCTATAAACACAAAAATATGTTGCTTATCTAAAAAAATGCTAAAAAGGCTTTCTGTTTCAAGTTTTTCTACTCAACTAAATGCTATCTTACTTAAAGTCAGTTTATTCTGGATTGAAACTTATTGATCTCTACTGAACTTTAAAAATTAAATAAAGATAAAGTAAATATATGTTGGTATAGTACCAAAAATAATTTGACTTATCTGAAAATGTTGCAAATTCCACTTGGGGCTATAAATGTTGTATAGTAAGTTTTAACATTTTTTCAGGGTACAAAAATAATTGTTACTTCAGAATTTAAAAAGTAAAGTCTCAAATAACCAATATTTTCGGTGCTTGACCATTTTAAACATGTGAAATGGACTACTATCTTACAAATAATTAAGGGTTAATTTTTGTCAGTGATAATATGCCGGAACCCACTACGGAGCAAGTGCGTGATGGAGTTGCTCTCCGGATAAATGGGGATTCGGCGGGGGACACTCATTGCAATGGCCCCATAGATATGGCGTCGTGTCAGTTGCGCAACTATTTACGGAGCTGCTAAAAAAGGACCTGAA